TTAATGGTTGTGACTTGCGCTTATTAACTCTTTAAGATCTTTGCTAATAATAAACAAAAAGTTATATGCTCTTTTTGCTACTTCTTCGACATCTAAAAATTTTTTCTAAATTAAGCTATGTTTTTCAAAAAATTGTTTTTTCCTTTAGTACTAACTCAATTAAACTTTAACCTTGTACTAGAAATTTAACACATTCAAAATTGAATTAACTTTGTATAGGCAGAGAGCCTTAGCGCAAATAAAAAACATATATAAAAAGGCCGAGGAAGACCAGCAAGAGAATCTGTATAAGTAAAAAAACCTACCTCTGTTTTTACGTAATAACCTCTAGTTAGTGAATACTACGCAGAAGGCGTAGAAGCATAAACACGGAGTATGTAAAAAAAATATTTTTAGTTTTACTCTTATAGCCCTAACTAATCTATTCTTAGTACCTAATTTGGCCAGCACGAGGTCTTTAATCGTCAGAATGGTTTTATAGCAAACTTCCCACCCGGTGGGAGAATTTAAGGTTCTTGACTGCTTTAACTCTCAATTGTTCTTTATTGTATAATATGTCTACTCATGTATTCTCTTATCGTTAAATTTTAGTCATAGTTTGCCTAATTATTATCAAGTTTTTGAATTTACTCTAATTTCTGTTAATTTTGCACCTTGTAACTCCAAAAAACGTTATAATTATTATAAAAGTTATAACATTTACCGCTCTCGTTATTTTCATATATTATAAATTTTCCGCCGCTCAAGTTGTTTTGTTCATTTATTATAACCAGTAGAGCATCTACTATATTGTTTTGTCTGTGATAAAGTTTTGCCTAGTTTTTATCTGAAATTTTTTTTTAATGATTTCCTGGTTAGTTGATAGGGTATGTGGTGCCTTAAATCTTTAATAATTATAATTAAGGGCGGGGGGTTGATAAAATACATTTAAATCAAGTGAAAGTGAATAAAACTTTTATAAAAGTGAGCTAAAAGCCACAATATTATTTAAAGACGGGCTGCAATAAGGAAAGCAAGCCGTCATGCTTTTGGTAGTTGTCCTTGAAAAATACTTTTTAACCGATTTTTTTAAGAGGCTTTTTTTTCACATATAAACAATAAAAAAAAAATTGAAATTTACTTAAAAGGAAAAATTATTATATCTATAATAAGGAGAAGGCAACTAAACATGCGACCATGATTTAATACTACAAGTTGAACACAGTCAAATACATTCCAGCCATAGGTTGATAATTTAAATTATTTCACCTGCGTATAGAAGAGGGCTACTCAGGGGCTAACTGTGGTATATACATATAAAATGACCCGAGTACGATTTTAATTTTTTTTTTCTAATTTGTATTGGGTGTGTTAAGCCCTCCCGAGGTCTTTAAATTTATCAATAAAACTATTACCCTGTTGAATATTTAATAACTTTATATTATAATATCTTATATTTCTAATATACATTTTACTTTATCATATAACAAATAGTTATTAAGTATACCTGTCAAAGATTTAATAAGTAAAAACAACACCTGTGAAATAAATAAACTAGCGCTTAAAACATGTCACGTGGGCGCTGATAAGGTGCTTCGTCTCATAGCTCGTGCATTAATAGGCTGTTAGTGTGCCAGACTGGCTGGTCATAAAAGGCAATGGCATTGCGTCGGACAGACGGCGTTCAATGGACCTGGTGGGAGGCCCTTTTAATGTGCTTCCTTTCGTATATTTTAAGGCGCTTTTGTCATCACGTGCAGCAACGTGTTTTGTCGCACTTGGAGTGCGGACGCTATTGCCTAGGAATTGGAGGTTCACGCAGTAATGTGTATACCATTAATGGTTGAATGCAAGACACAGGCAACCGCCTTTTTTTCATAATGAAAGCTCGTTCTTGTGGCATAGTAAAAATTAAAATGCCTTGGTCGCTGCCTTAACCTCCGCCACTGTATAGACTATGTGCTGCCGTTACGAATATGTGCGTTAACGATGACGCCCAGGTATTTTGCTTGAGAGAACTATGAGGATTTTTTTACCATCAACGGTTAAGGGCGCCACCGAGGAAACGCGTTTTTCTTCGCTAAGGAATGCTTTGCCCTTGGTCGCATTTATAGCAACTTACCCTTTAGAACACCAGAAGGCAAAAGGGTTAAGATAGCGGTACAGAAAATGGCATAGCAGGACGGGCAGCTCCGACGACGAATAAGGGCTATATTATCGGCGTATAGAGCAACACACGGGCGGGCACGTCGCGATGTAAATGCGCGGTATAATAAGTAAACCAAAAACGATAAATAAAAAGCAAGAAACGGGGGAGACCCCTTTATCCTTTGATTACCGTTAATCTTTCTTTTTTCCTTTTTTCTTTTAAGAATATTACTGGTCCTCTTAATAGGGTAATAGCGTACATATTAGCTTTAAGCTTGTGTTAAAGCAATCTCCTATATATGTATTTATTATAAATTACTCTACCCCTAGACTATATTATATATTTAGAGTCCACTGTGCGCCATCCTAGATTTTCGAGTTGAGCTGATCTGTCAGTAATCGATTGGCGTGTTGATTGAGCCGAAGGGGCGATAGCATTGCGTCGAAAAACGTTACCCAGAGTTTAATCTGGAGGTCTTTATGTTGGACCTCGCTTCGAACAAACCATAGCGCACCCGACTTAAGGCGTAACAGCATGTTTTGTCTCACTTGAAGCGAAGAGACTATTGCCGGCCAGGCAGTAGACGAATATGTCATGATCAGTCGAATGCACAACCAATACAACCATCGTTTGTTGTGCAGCGAGGGTTTACTTCAGACACAAAGTAAAGGGTAAAAATTTTGAACTGCCGTCTTGACCTGCGATATAGTTTACGTGCGGCCGCCACGAGAGCCCCAAGGTATTTCGCCTGAGGGCACCAAGGAATTACCTTATTTTTAAAGGTCACCAGCGGTAGTGGTGTAGTGTATCAAATTTGATAAAAATGTATATAAAAAAAAGTATTTAAAAGCAAGGAGTACTTTATTGACCAATTTCGTACTTTATTTACACCTTCACAAAAGGCCAAAATATGATTCCATACCAATAAGTTTAATTGAACCCGATAAAATTTTTTTACTTTGTTTATTTTTGTATCCAATTAATAAGACAGGTCAAATAAAAAATTTTTATGTGTTGATATATTTCTCTTTTCTTGTGTGTTTATTGGTGATTTCTCAGGTTTCTGATTGGATTAATTACGGATTATTTCCCTATGAAAACTTAGAGGGTTAGTGTTCTGTGTTTTTCTGTTTGGTGTTTGTATTTTTGTTTATTTATGTGTTTTATAGTTGCGTACTTTATACTTAATGTATTATACAATATGTTTTTGTAATCTATGTTTTTTTTTGGTTTTTCTATTTTTAATTGTGTTTATGTATCTTGTGTTTTTTAATTGTGTTTTAGATGTTGTGTATACTGTAATATTTAGTAATGCGCTTCTTTGTGACAAAAAGGGCTTTGCTTTGCTGATAATTAGTAATTTTCCGATATATACTTAACAAAAATAAACAAAGAATAACATTGCAAAATTTCAAATTTAACCCATCACTAAGTCATCCTTGTATTTATGTTTTAAATACTATTTCAATAAAGTAAATTTTGTAGATATAAATATAATTAGTTGGTGAAAGATTAATTTGTTGTAACTGCTATTACAGCAGGGCAGAGAGATAAAATTTCTGAGGGACTCTTGCTCTCAGTGATCGCAACGACGATAGTGTACCCTCCCACGCACACCCTGAAGTCGCGACCGTTAAATATGATTTCAACACCCCATAAAGATCGCGAGGGACGATAAAACAAGCGCAGCTGTTGCAGCATATTTTTTATGCTAAACTGGTCGAAGGCCTTCTCAGTGTCAAAGGTTGCCTTATTAAAGTTAAAAACGCGAGTAACCACCATATTTAGAAGGAAGGAAATCATGCGTTGCCTCAGGATTTTACATACTTGCTACACAAAGCGTTCTCAAGTCAATAATTGTATATTATAAGCAATCAAAAAGAAATTATATTTCAGGGGATATCATATGAAATATTATCTATTTTTTGTATATATTTTGTAATTTATTAATTTATTTGATGCCATGTATTCTACTCCACAAGATAATTTAGTTAGTGCGCTTAAAAATTATTTTTAGGTGCGATAAACTTGAGTCTTGATCTTCACATAAAAATTTATATATATTGATTTAAGTACCTAAGTACTTTTTACACTTTCTATTAACTAACGTAGTTATTTTCAGTCCTTGGAAACAAATGTATTAAAGCATTTATTAATATCTTAAGAAAAGGTGTCAACTTACTATCCTTGAAGAGGTTATCGTAATATTTGACTTATCAATTAAGGAAGAAGGTTCAAAGCAGTGCAAACCCCACTTAAATTTATGTTAAACTATTTTACATAACTATCAAAGTATAAGTAATTCTATACTACTGAACAAGAGTTGTGTGTGAGCTAACCAACTTAAGCTCTGTCCCCAGAAAAGAACCATGTTTATATTCTTCACGTGTCATTCAAAACGAAACCTATTTTCTCCTAGGTCTTATTGCTTCTTCTGCACTTGTATTTTGGGCTGAGAGAGTTTTCTTCTATTGTAAACTTATGAGGAATTTAGAGGCTAAATAGCTGAAGTTTTACTATTGAGATGAGATTCAAATTACAAGTGCGAAAAGGTGATAAAACGGTTCACTGTTGGCATGCCGTGGATCCTAATGTTTGTGATACAGTTGGTAAAGTCGCCGAAAATATTGCAACTTGCTATGGCTTATCTAGCGAAACTCTGGCTTTGTCAATGGAAGATTACTTGCTTCCAGATTTTCACTCAACTCTTCAATTACTTCGGGACAGTGACATCGTAATTGCCAGCGTTTGTCCTGGCACTTGTGAGCTTAATGATACTGAGCTTGATACTTTGGTTCATAGGACAACTGTAAATAGTATGAATTATCTGCCAGTTTCCTCGACAAAAAAATCAAAGATATTATTATGTGATAGTAATACTTTAAAATCTAATAAGAAGGAAAATTTAAAGAAAAAAAGTAAAAAGGAAAGTTTGAAGACGAATAAGAAAAGAAAGCACGAAACACCGGAAATTAAAAAGTCTAAAAAACGTTCTCAGAAGAATCTTTCTAGTCCTGGAAGGAAACGGAAAAAAAGTGATTTTACTTCTCCTCCTCAAGTTTTTTCTTTAAATAAACGTAATAAAGTTTTTGAGGATGATTCAGTTATAAAGTCGAGATCGATTAAAGAACACGAAAAAAATTTACTTAAAACTTTTAGACAAAAAGAAGCTACGAGACAACCTTTATCAACAAATTCGAAGCTTGAAAATTCCATTTTTAAACAACTTACAAAAAATCAAAGGAAAAAATTTAATCAAAAAAAAAAGCAGCAGTTGCAACAAGATTTAGAAATTGAAAAATTTATGAAAACAGAAATGGAAAGAAATAAATTCGTACAAGATACTGTGAAATTTTCAAACATTGTTTCGGAAGAAATAAATACATCGTATTGCTCTAAAGAGCTTCCAGAGAAGCCACTTTCAAATAATGAAGTGTTAAAGTTAAGTGCAGAGAAAGATGAACAAACTAATCAAAGTTTTATATACGTTTGTCCTCCAGTAAGTTATGAAAGTTATCCTAAATTTATTGGTTTTCCGAGGAAAGGTGAACGCATCGCCTTTAAAGTATGGCATTTTTGTCCTTTTTGTAACTACTATACAATTGTAAAACTATCTTTACACTACGACTTTTTTTTTTACTAAAATACGTAAGTTAATGCCTTATTTGAAAGTGTTTTGTTTAATAAGTTTTATAGATGTATATTCTGAATTACTTTTTTGTTTTTTTGAGCTTTTAGATTATATTAAAATAATTTTTGCGCTACTGTATTATTAAATGTGGTTCAGGATATCTACAATTACTAAATATACGCAAAGTGGGAATATTTTAGCCATTGTGGATCTGATTTGTAGCAATTACCTTTTTTATATTATAACAAATTTATATATATATAATATAAAACTTTATTTTTATATTCATTAACTTTAACTTTAAGGTTCTGTAACGGTCTTTTAAAACTACTGCTGATAATTTTGTTTTAATATTTTTAGTATACAAAAATAATATAGTTTAAGTTTTTTATATCATTTATATTGCTAAGTTTTTAAACTAAAATTTTGTCATCGATTACGTAAATTTTTTTTTTAACTTTAATAGATTAATATTTATAAGCTTTGAAATTTTATTGTAGTAAAGCTTCTTTTAAAAAACTAAGATTTTTTTTGTTATCAATTGCTTTCATTTATTGCTTTCATTTATTTCTAAAGATAATTTATTTTATATTTCTTAATATACTTATTGCCATAATCATATAAACTCAATAATATTTTACAGTTTGTATAAAGAAATTAATACAAATTTTATTAGACTTAATTATAGTGGAAAGTTTGAATTTAAATGATTATTTATTACTCGCCTCCTTGTGTTTTACTTTTATTCAAGGATCACATAAAAAAATTTTATTATAAGACACGTTAAAAGTTATAAATATTAATCAGGGTTAAACCAGTTTTTAAAAATTTTATAGTTAAATTTTTATTGGCATATATTTTTTGCCTTTTTTATTTTACTTTTTAAGGTAGATCTACAAATGATTTTTATTTAAAGACTTGCCAATAGTTATTTTCAAATTTAGAATTTAACCCAAATTAAAATAAATTTTATTTTAAAATTATCTTGTCTAACTCATATTTTACGGCAACATAATTATAAAGGATTTATAAGATTTTTTTATGAGGTTTGTAATTTCAAAGTTCTATTTTTATTATATTAGCGCGCAGCTGGGCACGAAGTAAATTTAATTATTCTTATTACATTTATGTGAATAACTAAATTTTTAATTAGCGTTTATTAAAAAAAAAAGAAATTCACACAAATTTATTATTTTTACTATTTATTAATTTTTAGTTATTACTTTTTAATTTAATAATTATTTATCGTTATGTATATTAAAACAGCTACTAGAACTCGCGCTGGATTATACTCCACAGCTGTCGACTTTCAAAGAGGGAACCGTAGAAGATTTTGATTCAACAAAAAAAAAAGTTTCAATAAGACTTGAAGAACATTCGATTAACAGAATTGATCGATCTGGAGGACGTTTTGAATTGGAAGATGAAGATGAAGATGAGGAAAATCTTGATCTGGTAAGGAGCATTTTACAATAATTTAAACAAACTAGTTTATTTTTAATATATACTTAAGCTTTATTCTTAATAATTTTGCTTTGTTTTTTAATATAAATAAATTTCTATTATACTAAAAATAAAAGTTAATAGCTTTATTGATGAGAATATATAAAGTATTATTATCCTTTAATAAGTCTACTAACTTTTACTTTATTATGTATAATGTATTCAAACATGAAACTTATATATACCTTTAATAAATAATAGTTTAAAAGTTTTTTATTTTAAAATTTAATAAGTTTCTAATACTTGTAAATTATAAAGTTAATAATACTTTTTGCTTATTTATTTAGTTTCAAATTTATTATATAGAAAAAGTTTTGTGATAATAATATTTTAGATTAAAATCGAATGGGATTCACTTCAAGATGTCCGAAAGTTATCATAACGTGAAATATTATTTAAATTATATTTTATCAATATTTTAAAGATTTTCTACAAACAAAGTTGGCTATGGTGAAAAGTTAGGAATTAACTTTTACAATTCGCTTATTATAATAAACTTTTTTATGAAATTACTGAGAAGGCTACTTTATATACTTTTTAAAAATGTATTAAGTCTCTTAAGATAAAAAAATGAAAAAAAAATATTACCCTCTGTGCATTTTGCATTGAAAACGTTGGGGTTGTGAGGCTCGGTGAGTAAAGACGGTCAACAGGCGGGTGCGTTTGAGGCCAGTTTGATTCCACAATTTTTGGAAATTCTTCAACTTTAACTAATAAATCAGTTTTACAATTCATAATTCTTTCGTGATGTATAAAACTTTTTACTTGATATTAATTTTAAATTAAGTTAACAAAAATTTTAAGACGTTTAGGAGTAAGAAAACTGCAGAGAAGTTTTTAATATAAACCCATTAGAAATGTGAGGGTAAAGCTTTCACTCCTGTTAAGTTTTGATTTAAATGTAGTGAAACCAAATCTTTTAAGTTCTTTAGATTGTTATTTCTTTATTCGTTGGGAAGATGCTCTTTTGTATCATTGACGCTTCACTTTTTTTGATATTTTCTTTGTCTTCTACAAATACTCGGTAATGGTTTTATTATTGACCATGCCCTACAAACAGATTCAGCGAGTAGTGTTTAAAGAACACACCCAATAAGAAAAGACAGACGCATCAAGAGAAGAAAGAAAAGAAAGAAAAAATAAAATATACATCTCTATTCATTTACTTTATTTTAATTTATAAATCAAAATCGGCATACTACAGCTAAATTTAGAGAACTTCCGGTTCCTTCTCGTTATACTCATTTATGAGACTCGCTATTACCACGTACACTACACGTTTTTGTACTCCCCTTTATAAGAAGCAGCGGCCTTCTATAATTTTTTAAACCCCTCTAAGGACAGAGGACAAAAAAAAGGAGGAGCGACCAAGTTTATTATTTTCATCTATTATATTAAAGTTCAGGATCTCAGTAAAACTGAGCGATGGGTAGTGCCTAAGTCAAGATTGGCAGTTGAGTAACAGCTCAAAAGGCGTTGGTTTTACTAAAAAGCAATAATTAAATTAAATCCTTGTTAACGCAGTTAGGCCCTACGCGTGGCTCAGTTGCATGCCATCTCAGAAACTAAAGCTTTTTTAAGCTGTTACTCGACTCTCAATCTCGACTTAAGAACTATCGTTAGATCAATTGCATTTAACCTGTCTGTGTAGAAAAGTTTAATCATTCCTAGTACACAGGTGTTACTCTCGAGGGACAGGTTCATGAGTCTACCTCGGGCTCTCGGAGTAAACATTTGGACAAAATTCAAGCATTGAGTTGCTCAAAAACGGCGTTCCGTTAATCCTAGCATATTTAATCGGGCTTAATTTAGCAGGAAAATAAAACGGCTTCTTAAGAGGCTTATAGACTGTATTCTCCCTTAAGGTGGAGTAGTAAAAAGCTTGCAAATTTAACTATTATGCGTAGTTTTAATTATTTTTTGCTGGACTTCATATTATTTTTATCTTTATATTTACAAATAAAGAGAGTACGAGTCTATTCTGGTTTCGTGTGTAAGTTCTTGAGCTCACTGATGGCTCGTATGCTTACTGAAAAGTTTAATAGAAGCAAGCGTAGCCTTTTTGAAAAAAGGGCATTTCTTTCAAGACCCAAAGAGTCGTGCAACTTGTCATTGAGCACATTGTAAGCTGTGCCGGTCATCAACCGCCTGAGCCTGTTTTTAACGGTTAATTCGTAAGTTTTTATACCCTAAGTCGAGAGTTTTCTCCGTAGCTCAGCGGTTAACTCAATCACTTTATGCTGATTTACATATTTAATGTATTAGTTTTCTCATGTTTAACGGAGTGCAACCGTCGACGACATGCCGTTTGTCTAAGCTACATAAGAGTTGGTCTAAGAAGGGACACGCATTCTCCAATTAAGGTAGTTTTTGCGCATGTATCTCGCTGGTCCACGTATTCGACGTGTGGTAAACCAAGAAAATCGATCAATGGTTATACTGTTTAAGTATTTGCCCTAAAAACTGAAGGGGATATGCAGTGTGCCTCTTTAAACCGAGAAGTGCACTGCTTCCCTCTGCATTTAATATTCCTTCCCCTTTTCCCCTCCATTATTGGCTAAGTAGTATTGAAGTTGTTGCCAAAGTAGTGAGACATTCCTCGGAAAAACGAAAGTTGGGATGTCTTTAGTAGAGGCCTTTTCGAAAAATTCAAGTAGGTCTTTTGGAAGCCCTACGAGTGTAACTACGAAGTCTTCTAGGGGGATTGTCGAACAATCTCGACAATTTTGCCCACTACTGAATATAAGCCAATAAAACAATATTCACTGAGATTTTGTGTAAGTGTTGCTTTCAGCACTGGCCCTACCTACTCTAGTGACCGAAGTATAATAAAGATTATGCAGGTCAAAAACTATATATAATTGTTGATTAATTTCACTAGCCCTGCGACGCTACTTAATGCAAGAAGCCCCACCAAGACGCGATAAAATAAAAAGATCTATCTAGCCGCGCAACCACTGGCTAACTTATATACGATTTACAACTTAGCCCTCACTAAATTATATGCACTTACTAACTACAAAAGTCACATAGATTTCGTGACGACACAACAGGGGCTGTTTTTATTATGTTGTGAGGTAGTTGCGCAATATTGCAGCTTTTCTAAACGGCAAACTGGTTAATCGCTTTAGTTGACATCAATTTAGCATCTTTTCAGCAATGCCTTAGGCCTTTGTGCCTTTCGTTGCGATAGCGAAGAGACCAAAACAAGGATTACATCAGCTGACCTCGACTAAAAATTCCGTCACCAACTGTCGAGGGGTTAGGCAATGTCTTATCTTCTTTTTGAAATAAAACTCGAGTTAAAAGCACGCAGTGTTAAATACCATGTATAGATGTCACGTGACTATAACGGGAGTCTAGCAGAATTAAATCCAGTGGTGTGAGAGGTTCCCAGTAGCTTAATCAAGTTGTCTTTCTCGAAAGATTGAAAGTAAAACTTCAATACCTTATGGATAGGTTTCAAGTTACAGCCCTTGCAAAAAAATTATTGTTGGTGGTAAACCATGAGGCTTAGAGAAAAGTATTTATAAGCTATACTAAACTTTTGGTGATCTGGTTACATTTTCTGTTGAATAGGTCATAATGGGTCTCAGCATCGAGTTGCTTATAAGCAATTTATTTCTTAAGTTTATTAAACTAAGTATTGTAGGGCCTAAAAATATCATAAAGTATTTTTTGTTTTATGATATACGACATTAGTGCAAAAGGACCTGCTTAATCGTTTAATACATAGCCTAGCTTTAAACTTATGCGATAGGGGTGCCTCAGCGATACATTTTCCAACTGTTTAAGTTAAAGTTAGTGACTTCGTAAAATAAACGTTTTAGCTTTACCGGCGGTAATAATTTAATGGCAAGACGCGCACCATGCTTTCAGGAGACAAATGTTTACGGCTATCTTTACTTTTTAAAATTTTTGTATCTATATTCTTATTGTTGGAAAATATTGTAGATAAAATAGTGGAATTCAATATTCATGACAATTTAAAATTTTGGAGTGTAAAATTGAGGCTACATTTTTACTTGCAAGTACTTCGCTGCAACATCGGGAATAGATCGAGCATTTTAGTAATACCATAAAATACATATTGTATATATGGAATAAATTCGCTCTTAGTAGAATTGCAGACTTGTAGTGATTAAGTTCAATTTATTGGGCCTCTAGAAACATTACTAAAAGAAGATTGCACGCAAATAGTAAATTGTAGAAAATTGCTGAATAAAAAGATGAAACTGCATTCTAAACCATCTACTGGATAAAGGTAGCGTGTCCTCGAGTTTTGGCAAACTGACTTAAAAAAAAAGGTAATGTTTTGGTGGTATGAATCGAGCATTGCAGTTCGCATATTCTTGTTTAGTTTATGCGATTTGCCTTTTATACTTTATAAAATTTCTCTCTGAATCTTATCAGGAAATCCTTACGCTTGACAACAAAGCTGAAAAAGCTAAGTCAGGTCTGTTCACTGCACCTACTTTTAAGTAATTCATTATTTTTCAACTTTTTATTTTGCCAGCAGCTTTTGCGTGGTACTTGACTTTACTGTGGGACTTTTTTTTGTTACTCTTCTTTATCATTCAACATTCGTATCTGGCCTCATTACACTTCAAATTTCGCTATGCTGCCTTGTTCCCGGAAACTACTTCTAGAAGTACTTACGCTCTGTGTACAGTTCTTCACTTATGGGCAAGTTTATTTCAATAATTATTTACCTTAATATTACGCATCCTGCTTACTTTATTTAACTAAGTAATCTACTAGTTTAAGGTTTTAAATTCTTTAAGGAAGTTTTATTATTCTTATTAGTATTATTTATATCAAAACGCACAGTAAACTGAGAGTAAGTATTCTGTTTCTCGATTGTTTCCTTGTGTCCTCTTATCTTATTTACTAACTTAAAAAAAAATTATATTTATTAAAATATTTTATAAAAACTCTTTAATAGCATGTAAGAAGTTAACAGAGATTGTTGCAGGATCTTACAGCTTTATAGTTCGTTAAACTCGACCTTCTTTGTACTTATACCAAAAAAAGTACCGTTAGCTTTTCTAACAGCCATTCTTTGAAGTCTGTGCTCACATTTTAAATCTAGTTATATATACTAAATTCTGTTAACTATTTTATAATATTTTAGGTGATAAGAGCGGCGTGGCTACCGACATATGAGCTGCAGCTATGGAGGTTTACGACCTCAAAAACTTTATTTTGTGCAATTTTTTTTACCACAATACTACTGCTCATATGGAAAACTTTAAATTTTGATCACTTCGAGCTACTAGGACTTAGCCAAGTAGTTTTTCATTGAAAAAAATAACTTTTTTTAACTAAGAAACCTTTTTTTTTTTCAAAAGACTTACACTGCACTGCGAGGTCTACAAGAGAGAGGCATACGCCAAAAGCCTGGAATGCAGAGAACTTTGGAGCGGATGAGGCATCCAGTGCTAATATCCGCTGCATTGCTGTGCTTCACCGTCCCTACTTTGCGCTACGACAGATTTCTATGCGGTGTAGTTCTTATTACTTATATGCTTGTGCGTAACAAGGTGGACTATCTGGATACTCGGTATGCTCTTTTTGCAACTATAGAATTGTTAGCTAAAATCTTTGCATAGACATACTAAACGGGAAATAAAAGCTCTTTGGGAAGATCTTATTAAGTAAGTAAAAGCAGAATCGGCCACAGCAAGACTCTTGAATAAATAGGGATCTTTAAAAATATGCATAACAAATTTATTGTATTACAAGTTTATAAGAATATAATTGTCGCAGCCCAATGTTTACCACGCACACGTAAATTTAACAATTTTATTAATTTCATCAATTCACAGTAAATTAATAATTTTCAGTCCAAAATGTTTTATGTGCATGTCAATTTGTCACATTTATACAGCAAAAGTAACACATCTATTACTTTTATCAAATTCTTAAAGAAAATAAGTTAATTTCCAATCCAAAATATTACTACGCGCACGTTAATATATCACAGTTATACTTTGTAAACATTCTACTATTCATGTAAGTGTCATCGTAGACACCAACCAGATAATCTTTGTCCTTAATAGTTGGATCAATCGAGCGAAGGATCTTAATAAATTCACGTTTGCTCATATTATTGCGAATCTTGGGACACTCGAGATCAACTCTTAACATTAACGTGGTGATGGCCAAAAGATAAGTAGTATCTGTTTTATTTCATTTAAAGAAATTAAAAATGATTTTAAATAAATGCGCGCCGCGGGAGGACCTTTAGAAAAAGGTGGTTTTCTGCATTCATGATATCTATAAGCAAAGGCCCGAATAAAACTTCTTATTATTTGACCAGAATTTGGAATTGAAACTAAGCTGAGAAATATTCTGACGTATATATAAATCCTACCGGATCTGATTAGATATATAAGCCTGAGAATAATATAACCTCAAAGCCTGGCTGATGTAAGGAAATTTAAAATCATATAATTGGATCCATTCCAGTAAAATATCTTCTCTATTTGCAATTAGTTTGAATTTGCAATAATAATTTAGTAAAGTACCTGTGAGCCAGGTATACCCCCAGCTGGTCCCGGCTAAGCTGTTTACAGTTTTTAATAAACATAGCTACTGTGGTAGGATTGTCTTCTATTATCCCAATCTGCTTAAATTTTTGTATTCCCTAAAAAAAGACATTATTTAACTTTTTTTTTTTTTGGCACAAAAGTTATCAACATTTCAGAGTTTTTTTACTAACCAAGCACGGATCAACATTAAATAAGTTGGCGGCGTCATCAAGGGCTAAGTACATGTCCCTGAACTGCCGTGTATAAAAATTGGAAAAAAAAATTTAGAAGTAGGTAAGCTTTTTTATGCTATAATAATAAATTAATTCGATCTACCGTGATAAATTCGGGTAATGGTTTAGCAAGCTCGGTAAGACCAAATTCTTTTTGGCATAAATCTCTCCATAACTATTTATTAAAAAAATGGGTGTATATATGGCCCAAAAACATTATTTAACAATTGTATTTACCAAATTATTATTGATAAATAGCTCCAAGCTTTTACTTGTAAACGAAAGTATCATAAGATCAGTAGCATTTAGATAGCTGAAAATTTTTCGACGCACTAAAGCTGGCAGTGACCTTTATTAAAGCAAAAAAACTTTTTACATATACCTTAAATTGTTAAAAAAAATTAACCGAAAAAATAGTTTATTGGAATCCTTCCGATCAAACTTACTAAGTCGAACACCCATATTAAAAGGCGATACGATCTGAATATCATAGAGTTTCAATAAAAGGATTATTTTTAAAATATAAGTTCCTTAAAAAATCTCATATTAAGAAATTGCTCTATAGTTAATGAGGTTCTGTATTTAAACTCACAACTAGGATAGCTAGAAAACACCTTTAAAATACCTGTTACCTCGAGCGATAAAACTTTAAACAAGTTCTTGTTAGTAGATTTGATTGGTTAATTTTATATTTTTTAATGCAGGAAGTTTACCTCAATAACAGTTGATTGGTTAATTTCAAATTTTTATATAATAAGAAACCCTATACGTAAATCGAAGAACTATTGTTTAAGTACCTAAAAAGATGGGACATGGTGGTTACTATTAAATAATAATCTTTAATATTACGTACATCAATACAACGTATTTTGTGTGTTTATTATTAATAAAATTAAAAGTTTTCAAGTGTATAAAGCTAGAGTTATAATTTTTTAATTTGCTTTTTATTAGAAGTGGTAAAATTCTAAAATTCCAATGGGGGTCCTCTTTCTTAGTCAGTTCGTATAATTTAAAGAATCTCTAGGGCCGTCATAAACTTTACTTTATAATTATTGCAGCGTCGCGTATGAGCCGTTGACATTTAAATTACTCATTTAACTCCTCAAAATTGTTAGATATAATATTCAAATTTAACATTATTTTAAAACTAATAACAGAAAATATAAAAAATTAAGACAAAAGTAAAATATAACTAGCTAAGGTTTTTGCTTAATACTTAAATTTATATTTAATATATAAAACTTGGGAGCCTCGCGATAGTCTAGTTCCCTCTTCCTTAAAGTAAGGACTCATTACAACGATTCCTGGTTCACGTCTTAAAGTGCCGAAAAAAATCGGCCCTTTAGTAAAAAGCGAAGTTACAGCTTCCATGCAGTATATTAGTTGACCTGCTAGAACTTTGTGAAGGAGTATAGCGAAAGGTGTTATCTACATCTTAGCTACCAGTGTCCTACTATGGACATTTATTCTACTAGTTGTTATGCTAGTCGTTAATTCAACAGAAAACCACTTGGGCGCTTTAACGATTTTATTTGAATTCTACCACTCATTAACTAGGAACAAAGGCTAACAGACACCTAAAATCGGTGCAAATATTGCTATTAACTATGCCACTCGTTAGCTACAACCAGGATGACCTAAGCCTTCGTACGCGACTAGTTATAGAAGTCAATTGTATTCTATCAACTTAGCCAGTGTCCCCAATTTAAAGTTAGTTCATTTAATTCAATGGATTTACAAGACCAAGATATAAGTCAGCATTGTAAGCTAACGACCGGATTTACCATTTTTAGGAGGACCCTTTCAAACCACGCGGACTAGCATCGATCAAGATGGTCCAAATATCACTTCAAATTCTTCTCGGTAAACATCCAACCTGATCACTATTTTCTCTAGCATGCAACCATTTCACGACGGACTGTGTGGGATTTATCTTGGAAGTGAGATAAATACCAAAGCCTACTTGTTGGTTTCAGCTCAATTTAAAGGAAGCAGTTTGTCATATAGGGTTACTAATCATCACCCGGTTCGCTAGTGCTGACATTGAGCATTTAATCTATTCGAGGATGGCCGCCCGACCAGAACTACGTTCATCTTTATAAATACGAAACCAGTCTTCGAAGACGACCAGTCTGCTAACATTGTTAAAAAAGATCTGCTAGAGACGCGTTATTATCGCCTCAAGGAAGTTATCGAGCCTTCATTGTACAGACCTCTATTTAAGTCTTCCTATTAGCAAAAAAGTACTAAACATCTCCAAGACAGTAGAGTAGGGAGGTGAACTAGTCTTAGGAGGCTCTGAACAAGTAATGGATTTGGTAGTTCTGTATTAGTGTTTTCTTGTGAGTTTGCTCTTCCTCAGGAAGTTAGGGTTATCAAACTGCAAGTGCTGGCTTTCGATTTAGTGCTACGACTGAAAAAACTGTGGAGCGCACGGTTATATATATTTATACTGGTTAATAATACCAGTTACCTCTTGACAACACGATCGTACAACCAAGAAGAACTCAAGCGCGACTCGATACCAATATTAGATTAGAAAGTACGAATAAGTGGATTGAAGCTGAGGGGACTTTAGTGTTAGAAGTTCACTCTAACTAGGTGTTCTGCCTTCCATTGCTTGTTACCTTCTTGAGAGCGAGTTTAACTTTGGTACAGCAAGTCCTAAAGTATCTAGAATCGACACTAGCGGGAAAAATTACTCCTTATGGCTAGGCGATCCTCTCTTAAATCACGTCTGGGTTTTACGCATGTGCTGCATGTACTTTTTTATTTCACCTTAGTGCTAATGCATATGGTAAGGTTCTTGGCTAAGACTATTGACTAAAATCTTGGAAGCCTTCGTATGCATAAGTACAATCTTCATGCAACTAAGGGCTGTATCAAAATTTGTATAAAAAATGCTATATATGAAAAGTATATTAAAACCGGGATTAATTTTTCGACCGGTATTGGTCTGTATTTATACCCTTAAAAAAGGACGAAATATAATTCCATACCAAAAAGTTTAATTGAACCCGATAAAATTTTACTTTGTTTATTTTTGTATCCAATTAATAAGACAGGTCAAATAAAAATTTTTTATGTGCTGATATATTTCTCCTTTCTTGTGTTTTTATTGGTGATTTCTCAGGTTTCTGATTGGATTAATTACGGATTATTTCCCTATTAAAACTTAGAGGGTTAGTGTTCTGTGTTTTTCTGTTTGGTGTTTGTATTTTTGTTTATTTATGTGTTTTATAGTTGCGTACTTTATACTTAATGTATTATACAATATGATTTTGTAATCTATTTTTAATTTTATTTTTCTATTTGTAACTGTGTTTATGTATCTTGTGTTTTAATTGTGTTTGAGATGTTGTGAATACTGTGTTATTTTATTGAATTAGATTGCCATTATAAACCGCCAATATTAAAAGTTGCTGCTATACACAACCATAACATAGCTCGTAAGGGTCTAAGAGGAACTTTAACGTAATCCTAGGCGACAGCTAAATGCTTTTATATATTAATGAAAGAAACTAATTAACAATAAAGATTGTACTACGACTCAAGCTCTAAAAAGACTTAAGTTCTTAAGCAACCCTCGAACAACATTACATAAGCACACAATCTTGTTTCAGTGAATCACTTACTATTAACGTTAAGCTTACATTGTTGGGTATTTAAATCTTGAGACTTTTTTAATTTTACTGTAAATTGATATATATGTTTGTAAAGTACAGATATACGAACGTGACCAAGACGAAAGCGCAGTAAAAAATCAATGCGACTGCTTGTTTATTTTATTAGCCTATTTATAAATGACAGTCCCTGGTGCGTCAAAAGTCTTTGAATACTCGAGCTCTCAATCAGGAGTATCGCAGACTTATTACAAAGTAACTGTCTTTCGAAAAAATATTATTTTCTTGACAGTAACAAACAAAAACTAGCGCTAACGCGCTTCACGTGGGGGGCGATAACGTGCCCCGTACCGTGGCTCGTATATAAGCTCACTTACCAGCGGACGAAAAAAGTGTACTTAGCTAACCTGTCGTAAAGGACATTGGCTTTACGTTGAAAGACGTCGTACAAAGGATCCAGCTGGAGGTCCCGGGGAAGAGCTTCCTTTGGTACATACCCCGGCGCTTTTGTCATCATACGCAGGTTTTGTCGCCCTTGAAGTGCCGACTCCTTTGCAGTGGAGTCGTACGCCCGGGCAGCGGAAGCGTATCTCATTATTCGCAGAATGTAAGGCCTATACAATCGCCGTATGTTTCGCGGAGAAAGACTGCTCTTGCCGCATAGTAAAGGGAAAGCGCCCTAGTTGCTACCTTGACCTTCGCCACAAGAAAGTGTACGTACGGCTGCCAGAAAAGTTTGTTGTTGATGAGGACTCCCAAGTATTTCGCTTGAGAACACCACGGAATCTTCACGCCAACAAAGGGACGCGTTTCTAAGTAAATATAAGCGCTTTGCTCTTCATCGCATTGCAAAATACTTCCCAATTACGGCACCAGTCAGCAAGGGCGCCAAGATAGCGATGCAGATGCATGCATAGCAGTTGTGAGACTTAGACGTTGAGTAAATGGTCGTCGACCATCATTGCAGAGGGCTCTTCGTGTGTGTGGATTTGATGGCAGGGCACGTCGCTCATCTAAATTGGAAATAAAAGGGGCGAAGGAAGGGATCCCTGAGGGACCGCTGGTGACAGAGATCGCAGCGGTGACTATGTATTTCTCACGCGCACGCTGCAAACGCTGCCTTTTAAATATGACTTAGCACATTGCAAAGACTATGAGGAACGGATAACGAGCACAGTTTGTACACCAGGCCTTCGTGCCAACCTCAATCAAGTGCTTTTTCAACGTCAAGAAAGACAGCGCCTACTGCCCTCTTAAAGTTAAAAGCGCGAGCGGTCCATTCAATTAAGCGGAGGAGCTGCTGGGTCGTAGAGTGCCCTTGCCGAAATTCTAACTGAAATTCCGGCAAGGCATCCAGAGCGTCAACGACCTCTTTAAAACAGCACAGTGAAACGGTCTCACCCACTTTGTTGACAGCCGACAGGAGACTGAAGGGTTGGTGCTTATTAGTTGCTACTTACGGTTCAAGTGTATTTGGCAGCATCACAACGGGTTCCGTATTCGAACGGATCGGAAAGGAGCAAGGACTATCGCAACCTTCACTAAGAGGTACAGACAATGCATCTCTGATATTGACAATTTTTTCAGCATCTCATTAGTGATGCCATCGGGCCTGTCGCTTTTGTTTGAATAGCGCTTCGACAGTCGCTTGAACCTCGCTAACAATAACTAGCTCAGGTGATCATGGACATCGGAAAGAAGGAAGCACAGCTGTTAGAACGCATCATTGGCAGTTAGGTGAGCAGCTGGCGCGTTTGGGGCAGTAAGGAGATTAACGAAAAGTGGCTTTGTGCCCCCTATTTTTGTTCTTTTCACAAATTTTTAAAAGGAAGAAGGGCTGCTGTTGGTTCGGATATCTGGCGCATCTTGGCCCCCATTTATCGTTAAAATGGGATATTAGCTTCTTTCTTAAGCACCTGTGAAGCGATTAAATGCAAGTTTGTCTTCGGCATTCGGGGAAATACTTTATTATACGCTCTTTCACGAGTTGTCGTGGAAGTAGCGGGAGTCATGTTTAGTGTAACAAGGAAAAATACTAAACATCAGTATATAAAAACATTTAAACAACAGATACATAAACACAGTTACAAATAGAAAAATAAAATTAAAAATAGATTACAAAATCATATTGTATAATACATTAAGTATAAAGTACGCAACTATAAAACACATAAATAAACAAAAATACAAACACCAAACAGAAAAACACAACACTAACCCTCTAAGTTTTCTTTGGGAAATAATCCGTAATTAATCCAATCAGAAACCTGAGAAATCACCAATAAAAACACAAGAAAAGAGAAGTATATCAACACAAAAAATTTTTATTTGACCTGTCTTATTAATTGGATACAAAAATAAACAAAGTAAAATTTTATCGGGTTCAATTAAACTTATTGGTATGGAATCATATTTTGGCCTTTTGTAAGGGTATAAATACAGACCATTATCGGTCAAAAAATAATTTTCCCTTCCTTGTTTTCTTTTAATTCCTTGGCTTGTATCATGTATATATTTTATACGCTGCGTTATTTCACTTTAGTTATACACGTTATAGTGTATATATTTAATTAACTCTTACATTAATATATTTTTAACATAACATATTCTACAAAATTTTAATACAGTGCGCTTTCGAATAAGGGGACAGCATCATCCAGGAGGGCAGGGTCAGGCGGTGGTGACGAACATGGCGGGAGAGTAATTTAAAAAAAACAGAATATATATTAGTCCCAGTTGGGAAAAAATCGTAGGATAGTCTTCGGGTGTGTCCTTCTCGTCTTATGCGATAATAACTAGAATGTGATCGGAGGACAGCTTGTGGAGCGCTTCAGTAGCCGTTGTGACATATCTTTTAGTATGGCGACATCCCTTACGTCCATTGTGCCTGTAGTCTCCAAGTGTATTGGTTGCTGAGGGCCTAGTATGCACAGCTCGTGCTCATTAGCAGAGGCCTGGAGGATGTGACCATATGAATTATGGACTTGGCTGCTCCATTAAGGGTGCTTGTAACTGAGATCCCCGCTCTAGACTGCAGAAGAGTCACTCGCAAAGAAGGCCAAATCGGAGGGCGGTAGTGGCTTCCAAGGGGACCTGTAGACAGTGATCACAGATAGGGACCCCTGGTCGGCCATAGGTAGGGAACTTTCACGGCCTCGAGTCTTTGTAGAGCTGGGCAAAAATATCGAGCGATGTTGAATGCTCTGTTTTAACAAGACAGCTACGCCTCGCCGCGTGCATCGACCCTGTCTTGGCGATACGTAACAAAGTTGCACAGGTTTAATGCGGCCCTAGGAAGGAGGTGCGTCCCGTTGATGGCGCAAACGTCAATTCTTTCACGTTGTAACAGCTCCTGGAGCTCATGCTTTTAACTCTGAACCAGAATAATACTCGGATGTAGCGGCGCGTCTTCAGTTCAGAAACCGTTGCAAACAGATCCTAGTCCTTTCACAGTTTCAAGCATCCTAGGTAATTTCGTCGTTAAAATTGCTAACAACTGCCGTAATGTCGGTGGTTGTTGCTGTGGCTGATCAGGTTTCGCACTAGAAACGTGACCAGGGGCTTTAGAAACTAAGGGAACATTAGGCGTGTCTTGATGAGGTTCTGTCCTCAAATAGGGCGCGTAAGGGACCCCGGAATAAGGTTTTATTTGTAGTGAGCACCCGCGGATAGTAGTTACAGCCTTTGTGTACTTCATCACAAATCGCACATCTAGCAGGACTATCCCAAGCCTTCGGGCGTGGCGCTGTCCGACTCGGTAATTCTTTCGGAGTTCGTCCACCTAACCTGAAGGTGGCAACCGTTTTTAATTCCAAAGCTTTTGTTGATCACACCTCGATGTATGTACTAGAGCAATCGGTAAAGGTCGCTTCGTACCTTTTTCCCATTGACAGCGTCCTCGTGTGCATCCTTGCCACGCGATGGGGTGAGATGCCTTGCGTGCATAATATCCCTCGACGGTTTTGAAGTCGAGATCGCAATAGATTCTGCGAAGAACCAACTTTAAACACTTGTCCGCTGGTAGTTGGTAGGTAAAATGAGGTAGCGCTTCATCACGCATAAGCTTAGTTATAGCCTGATACTCGTCTGTTGTTGCGGGAAATATTTAATGCCTTGATATGTATCCTTTGACTTCGGAATGTTGTTAGCGCCATTGGCTAGCAGAAGTTTTGCAAAAAGATTTCGCTTCTGTTTTTGCAGAGGACCACAGGAGGGATATTATTTCGCCTAAGAGGAGATGCAGCCGCGGAAGGTGGCTCGGGATCGTTGGAGTATCTCGGGCATTGGGGAAGTATTGTCCATTTCTAACTCAAAGCTATCTTCGTGCTCTCTATGAGGCATATCTGTGTCTTCGTTACTATTTTTTAAAGTAGAGTTTTTAGTGATATTACTAATAATTTTATTAAGGTATGCTTCTTTATTTTAAATGAATAATCCTTATATACTAATACTGAAGCGATAAAACATTGCCTAAAATTTGCAATTTGCTTTTAAAAATTATGAACTGCATCTTTTTCTCCACAAAATCTTTCTGTAAGCCTAATACAATCACCAACTCAAATACTACTGCGACCAGGAATCTCACGGGCGGCTTAGAGGTCCAGTAGATTACTACACTCATCAAATGGCCATTTAGAAATTAGCACCGAAGAATTTAAGCTGTTTACACAACGATAGAGCATCTTTTGAGTATATAAACCTGTAGTTTAAGCAGAAGTTGTCCCTTATTAGAGGCAATCAGAAAGAGCTTTCGTGACCAATTCAGAACATATACAAAAAGCTTGGCGAACATAGCTAAGTGACGAGTACATTGCCTTCATCGGAGTGAAAAGTTTTGGTCGAAAGCCATGAAGGCAAGATCAGTTAATGAGTGATGTTTAAATAACACAAGAGTTCTATTTCTGGAACCGTCTTAACAGGCATTGAACAGTTTAAAACATGGCTAATTAACGGGTTTTGAACTATAATAACATGGCTGGAAAGGTATCAGTAATATTTACATATTCCAGCCGCTCGATTTGCAGAACTGGTGGCTGTGGTACTAAATAGCGTTATTTACTAGTATTATATATATTAACGGGCGGATACCGTAATGAAATAGTTCTTTCATTATGATTCACGTGAGTCAAGAACTATAGCTTTAAAAAAGGCCTAGTTACCCTTATTATAAAAAACACAGTCTCAATTAAAGATCATCTTTTGTAAAAGTCTACAATAACTATTTAGTAAAAAGATACTACTAAAAAAAAACAGTAAACACCATAGTATCGCATCTTTACATAGGGTACGGATTAAAAATGGCTCCTATTGACCTAATACATATTAAACAAATTAACAAAGTGGACAGACTAAAACACAAGAATAAAATTCACGAGTAACTTATATTAATATATATTTTCATTTTTACAAATTTTGAGAGTTATCATATCGGTATGATTTGCTTAAAGCTATGTCACATTCTTAAGTTATTACGCTATAAAGTTGTATAAGAAGTGTAGAACGTTTGTGCTACTTTTGCAAGCAAGCTCGGATTTACCATGTCATAATATCATTGTGCCTCGTTTTATGCAGCACGTGATAGTTGTGTTTAAATTTCATGTTCAAATTGTCTACAGTTTTTTTTCTTCTACATTAATGGTCCTTCATATTGACTTGTTTCGGGCTGAAAAAGGTTCAGACGTAAATATCATATATGAAAGTGAAAAGAAAAGATATTCTGAGAAAAAATGGGCGGATGAAGTTATAGAGTTCGACCGGGAGTGGAGGAAAGGTGCTATTAAACTTTAATTGTTCTTTAACTTTGATAAACTAGTTTTTGCAAAAGTATATCTAATCATTACTCAAATAATTTTTATTACCAATTTTTTAAAAAGTTAATATATATACTATTGCAATTAAAGCTGATTACCAGGAATCTGAACTAAGGAAGACGTTAAATATGGTTAATTCCAAGTGCATTAAAGCAAAAATGCTTGAACTTAAAAGTAAAAGCGTTGATTTATCAACTCTACCTCAGACTCTTCCAACGGAATTTTTGCTTGAAGGTTATTACAGTTTTTAGATTTTAGTTAGTGCTCTTCACTGATGTCTTTCAGTTTATCGATGCCGAATTTTATTTAAAAAAAATATATATTACTATTAATACCTTTAAGGTTACTTGAAATTTTTATACTTTAAGTTATTTACATAATTCGAGTACTTTAATAAATTTTTTTAACAATTTTTAAGGCCTCCTTTTTTAATTTGTTTTGTTATAGATTTGACTCGTGTTTCTCTTGATCAGTTGCAAAAACTTTCAGTACACCATTGTGTTGAGTTTAAAAAACTTCTGGAAAAGGCAATTGCAACTTCCAATGAACTAAAAATTAGTCTCGATGCGAAAAGGCAAGAAGCCTTAAGAAAGGTCATTTATTTAGTTTTAAAGTTGATTACTCAAACAAATTTTTCTTTATAGATTGGGAACATCGTTCATCATTCAGTTCCTGTGCACGATGACGAATCTTATAACGAAGTTATCCGGACTTTTGGTTCGGTTTTTAAATCTTTTATCAAAATTAATTTATTTCAAGTCTTATTTTTACCTTTCAGGGGATTGCACCGCAACAAAAAAGTATTCTCATCGCGATCTCATTGTTATGATCGACGGTGTAGATCTAGCTCGGGGGTCCGTCGTAGCGGGCAGTCGGGGTTACTATTTGAAAGGCATTTTAATATAATCTTAGCCACGTGTTCCTGCTGTTCTATTGGTTTTCCGCGCAGGGCCCGCCGTCCTGCTGGAAATGGCTATTCTTCATTATGGCTTGCGCTTCCTTTGCGACAAAGTAGGTGTTCCTCTAGCCCTATTGGTTCATATTGACATTTCACGTGGTTTTTGCAGAAGTACGTGCCCTTGTCTCCACCGCTTATGATGAATCAAGAGATCATGCAGGAAGTTGCTCAGCTTAGCCAGTTTGCTGAAGAGTTGTACCACGTGTCTGGTTCCGGGTTTGGACTTCCACGATAGTGCACTTTTCGATTCCGCTCATCTTTTTTGTTTTGGCCGCAGCGACGCGTACTTGATTGCGACTTCTGAGCAGCCAATAGCTGCGCTTCATCGAGGAGAAAGTTTTTCGGAAAAGGATCTGAAGGAGCCACTTCGGTATGTCGGCATCAGCAATTGTTTTCGCAAGGAGGCTGGCTCTCACGGAAGAGACACTGCCGGCATTTTTCGCGTGCATCAGGCATCGCTTATACGTTGCCTTATTTTTTATATTTTCTCACTTTGTTACTTTTATATATTGATTAGTTTCAGAAAATAGAACAGTTTGTAATAACTTCCCCCAAAGATGATCATTCCTGGACTGAAATGGAAAATATGATAAGCAACGCAGAAGAGTTTTTTCAAAGCTTGGAAATTCCTTACCGCGTGGTCAACATGGTCTCCGGCGAACTTAATCTTGCGGCAGCGAAGAAGTATGACCTCGAGGGCTGGTTTCCAGGTTTTGCAGGACTTTCTTATTTATTTTCTGTGATCTACAAATTGAGCTTTTTAATTTTTTATATACAAGAAAATTTTTTCACTGTTAACTCAGACAAACGAATATTATAATTTAGCTTTTTATCGTGAATTTTTATATAGAATTCTTTTCATTTTTATTTATCGCTCTATTTGAAAAAGTAGTAATGGGAAAATTTTAAAAAAAAATCTAAAATTTTTTTATAAAACTGGGTTGGTGCAAAAGTTGTTTAAATTTTATATATATTGATTGCGGTACCCTACTGATAAGAAGGTTGTATATATACAAGACTGCGGAGATTCGCTATTTTTGTTTTAGAATTCACTGGAAGATATTGTGGGGCAAGAGAGAAGCTTCGCTATATAAAGCTCTACGCTTCTTAATTAAGTTTGAAGGCGGTGGAATCCTATTCCTCTCTGAACGGATTCTTTTGAAATCATTTTAATTTTTAATTTCGAATGCAAAGGTTTAGATGAGCCGCTGGCAGGTCGTCCAAAGCGCCATAGTATTTTGTCTAACCCTTCAATGAACGATGGAGATTTTTCCTGCATTTAGACAATAGTGGTACGCCGCTTGAAAAATTTTAAAAAAGTGTAAAAATTGGATTATAGGGCTTCTCACCGACTTAATTAACTAGATCTTTTCATTTCATATCACTCAACTCTCCGCTAAATCAGTTATAGGACGTACACGGGATAATAATAAGAAATTACTTAACTTTGATATCAGCTTTGCAGCCTCATATTATTGTGAAACGCTTAAATTTAACACAAGCAACAGATTTTGGTATTATAAAAATATTGCGCACTTGTAAATAACTTCATATGAGAAATTATTGGGAGCGACACAGTTAACACGGACAGCTAATAAGAGATAATGTATAATCCTATAACATAAAAGACACGAGCACAAGAACGAGATATGAAAAATTTTTTATTGTGGCAAGGAATTATTGATAATAAGCAGTTGTAAGCAGTGTTCTGTAATATTATTTTCTCCAAAGTAATAATTATAAAGAGCTTTTGCATCAAGATAATACTATCATTTAACACTATAAAACATTGTCTTCGCTGTAGTTTTAAATAACAGCGTTTATTCTGACATTTTAGCGCAGTTAACTTTATGATCTTGAGCGGTTCAACGTTGCTATTTAATAATTTATTATAATTAAGGCTCCAGGGCTTATAGGGAATTGGTTTCCTGCTCAAACTGCACAGACTATCAAAGTAGACGGCTTCGGATTAAGTATTGCTCCTTGGCGCCTTCTCTTCGATTCGATGTTTGAGGCCTTTACTAAAGTTATTAGTTTTTTTAAAAAAGAAAACTGCTTGTTTTTAGAAGGCCGATCACGTTCACATGCTGAATAGCACACTTTGCGCTTCAACACGAACTATTTGTGCTATTTTGGAATGCCATCAGACTGAAACAGGTTCTTTTCTATACTAATAGTTATTAAACCGCGTATTTCTTCTTTTTTTATATAGGGATAAAGGTTCCCAAGGTTCTATATCCATTCCTGCCCTCTCAGTATCATGGGGAAATTGCTTTTGTAAAGCCGGCGCCTATTGATTTTGAAAATAAGGCTTAATTTTAATTTTAAATGCTTATTAAAAAAACTTGTTATTCTATATGCGTATTACTTAGCTTTTTTTTTAATTCGATAACTGCCACATGGTAATGGAGCACAGTCTTAAATTCTAACTACTTACTGTTTTGCTTGCGTAAACCAATTATACTTAATTGTTTACGATCAGGGCATTCCTTTTTGTATTAAAACTTTTTAGTGATTGAGTAACGGAAAAAGGTCATGTCATTATTCTAAAAAAAAAATTAAAAACGTGTTTTAGTAGTAGGGCTCCTGATTATTTTTTAAATGATCCACTAGAGTTTATTAGGGTCGATTTGGGAAGGCTTATGATCTTTAGTTCATGATTGCTTTTGTCAGTTATTGATTTTTAGTGTATGAATTCAATTATTGTACAAATCTTAAAATTAAGTTTACTTCAATAATAGCAAATTTAGATTACAAATATTCGTAAATAAAGTTAATATTATATTTAAGTTATAAAAAGCACGAGTTTGAAAAATTTTTTAAATTGTATAAACGGTTATTTATAAAACTAGAGAAACAAACTCTTTTAGCATGTAACCTATGGTGGAAGTACATATTATATTTAGGAAGTGTTGTACTAAGAGGCGATCATTTATATTGATATGTAACCCTTATTCAAAATTGTATCTACAGCGGACTTAATAAAGTATGAAGGTAGAGGTTTAAAATATAAGAATCCCCATCACGTTTAACGCAAACCACCGTTTTCTTCTTCCTATACAAATTGCTTTTATAATCGAGGGTCATTTCAAATTTTCTATTCTGAAAGCGGTATAGACTCTAGTTTGGCTTAAGGACCCAAATAATAGTGTGATATCAAAGGCGCAAGGCTTGCAAACTCTTCAGTTATAAAGTAGCGACTTGTCATCTAGTTCATCATTTGATTTTTCATAGTTTCAACTGGCCACGTAATCTTTTTAAGAAGTCTGGTGATTTATCAGTGTGCAAATGACGTTAGTTTAGAGCTTGGGTGGCCAACCCACGGCGCCCGTCATTCCGCCTCCTCTCCCATCCACCGCAGTGACATACACAGCAGTGGCTCGAGTGCGTAACCATTGTGTTGGTGCTGTATCTTGCATTTTGGCGCCAAATAAATAATCTCACTTTCCTTTTGAACCAACATTAACAAATACCTAGTAGTACACTTGTAGTTCCATTACGAGCCTAAATCAGCCGTCTACTTTAGCTAGGAAACGGAAGTACCAAGATGATAGTGCTCTTCGCGAATTTAACATCGAATGGAAGCACCCAGTTTTTACTCGTGAAAGGCGTTGGTTCTAAGTCCGTATGTCCCATGGTAGTGCTTATGTAGCCGTGCCAAAAAAATTTAATTTGGAGCAGTATTTCAATCAAATGCCTCGTTTTTAACAAAGTATCCCATAAATTCAGGGTGAGAGCAGAGTCCATAAGCAAAACAAAAAAAACTCTTTAATCAAAAATTTTCCGAGAAGGCTAGTATTCAGAAAGAAACTATGTTCAGTTTTTTTTTTATTACTTTCACTTGTTAGGAAAAAATTTTATTTTAAAGCCGAGGAAATAGTAAAACCATGTTTAAAAATACTAAAACCGTAGCTGATCCAAAAATTTTAAAAATTGTAGATGATGTTGCCCTTAAAAGAAATATACTGTTACGAGAAGAATCGCTATAAATGGCAGATGATGTTAGTAAACAAAAAAATACTTCCTCGTATGACCGCGTGCTCCGACTTTTCTCTTTGGACGAGAGCTGCGATGTAACTGACAGTGCACAATTGTGCATTATATGCGGTGTGTCAGCGAAAAATTCTATATCACAGGAAAACTTCTAGATACGCGGGGGCATATCCCTAGTGAAGATGTTCCGTGAAATTTAAGATAATCGTTAATAAACTAGGGGCCAACTGGATAGTTTTCGTACAGATGGAGCTCCGGCAGTGACCGGAATGTAAGGTTTTGTAGGATTGTGGGAAGAATTTTTAAAAAATAAAGTTTTTAAATACCACTGCATTATTCACCAAGAAGCTCTCTGTGCCACGGATATAAACTTGTTGTGTTCTTGATCCGGTGATATGATCCTTTAATCACATTCGAGCCAGGGCTCATGAAAAAGAATTCCGCCAATTTTTTCTCACAGATATACATTAAGATAAGAACAACGTTGATTTCCCCTACAGTGCACTGTTCGTTGGCTAGTTAATATGTTTTTAACTACTTTCAGCTTTTTTTTTATCCTTATAGACCAAAGCAATTGATATTATAACTTACTTAATGACCCTTGCAGTCCAATAGACTGCATCTTTAAAACTATAAACAAACAAAAAAAAAACACAATACGGGACTGAGTTCCTCATCTTTTATTAATACAAAAAATATTTGCATTTTTAAATCTGGTAGGGCCCCTAAATTATGTTGCCCGAAACAATAATAATGAGACTTGACGAGACTTTTAAGGAAACTTGTATTCACAGGCGCCAGTATCTGCCTATTCTGCGTGCTGAAAAGTAAAGCTCAACAAGGCTATTTCGAGGTTAAGCTCCATGTAAAGTTTTAAAGTTTAAGAAAGTTAGTTTCAGAAAATTTAGAAGAGAGTGCTCAACTCCCAGAGGAATGCTCATTTCTCAGAAATATAGATTGGTTGTGGGATTTAACTTTTTTAACAGGTATTACAGTTCATTTAAATAATTTAGAAGAGCGTTACCTGTGCAAAACAAAAACTAATTTTTTTCCAACCTTGTTCGGTTTGGTTCAATTTTTCAAATTTTAACTCACACTTTTGGAAGAGCATCTGAGTAAAGGTGAACTGCACCATTTTTCTTGAATGCAAGAACTGATGAAAAAAAATGTTCAAGGCTTCGCGAAGTTTAGAAAAGAAGTTTTATCGATTTTTAAAAGAATATTAAGTATGTCCAGCTTTTCACAAATCTTTTTTCAATTTTAATTACGGAGGTTGCTATTAATCCAGCTCACCTCAAAGTGAACGTTTTAGAGTTACTAAATCAATTGGTCAAACCCTTCCAGTCAAAGTTTTGGCTCGTTTTTCCGAAATTAAATTGGATTGCTCTCCGCTACTCTTGCAGCTTGGCTCGACTTAGATTTGTGAGCAAGCATTTTTAACTATGAATTTTATAAATTATAAATATCGCGCAGTATTAAATGAGGAATATATAAAATCTCTACCTCTTGGGTCCTAACAAATAGATCCCACATTGAGAAACTGACTCCATGAAGCAAATTCAAAGGCCTCTTTAATGATTAAGTGTGAAAGGATAAAAAATGCTGTTAACATAAACATAAGTAAATTTATACTTTAATCACAATAACCAGTTACAGAGTGATGCGGTTTTTGGTAGTTTATAGTAGCATTCTGGTTTAAGGTTTAGTTAGACCAACTGAGATAGTGTTTGATTTCATATATTTTATTATAAAATCATTGATTAAATTTATCTAGAGAAATTGAAGAAGTAAGGACTTTTCTTCTGTTATTCGATTCAAATGAAATACTAGGGCAGGGATACACATGCACTGTGTTTTAGAAGAATGAAAAAGTGGCACTATATATTTTTATTTATGTAAAGCTCTTGAACAAAAATTTGACCAACCTTAGTTCAGACGGGAACAAATAACACGTTGGGGTGGTAGCATAGTCCCACTACCAAGGGTTACAATGAAAGCAAGCTTTAAACATTCCTTATTGTAAGGCTTAACAAAGTTTTTCTTTCTCATTTTTAGTTTGTACTGCACTTTCCGAAGCTTCCAAGATGTCTTTTTTTTCATTTTTTTTCTTAACATGAGCACTAGTACTTGGCCTAATTTCGGAATGTCTTTAAAAGCTGTATAAATTTTTTTATCCATTATTGGGTTTCAAATTTACCGCAACACAATTTTAAAAAAATAATACGCACGAGCGCTGTACCATAAGAATTTTTGCAACATTTCAAAATGCAAGCCAACGCAGTTATGACTTTCGGCTTCGGCGACCACGCTCTTCATCTATACCCGTGGCATGAAGTGTCCTCTCCTTTCAACCGCACATCCAACATTGGGAATCTTCCCTAATCGTGTAGTGGTAAAGTCGTACTTGCGGCTACTGGTTTAAAACACATAACTAGAAGCTTTACTTCCCTAAAGTAGACCAGCTGTGCATAACTATTTTGTTAAAACTATTTAAATTGGTAAACACTTGCTCGTATTCTATTTACAATTTTTAATAAATCTTTCTAATTTATCAATTTCTTCGAAGTTTTATTTGTTTTTTTTAAAAAAATAAGTTTTTGAGGTTAAAATCGTGCTTTAAGGAAATAGGCGCAGAAGAGATCTATAATGGAAAATTCAGTAACTAAATTTAGACTATTTGTCCTTTTTTATCAAGAGGTGTTTGAGGGCACCTCCAGTCAAGTTAAAAAAACATTTCAGTTTAGCTGAAAATAACTACAATAGTAAAATAATGAAGGAAGAAGATTTTTTATTAGTAAAGTAAAAGTTCTAATATAAGAAATAATAACAAAGCTAACACGCCCCTTTAGAGAAGCTACAAATGCCGTTAAATAACATATTCTACTATTTTAAGAAATTTGAGGACTAACAAATTATACCTAATTTTAGTTTAAATCCATTATAGGTTAATTTTAGTTTAAGGATTAATTTATTTTCCTTTGCTGTTAAGTTTAGCTTTTACATTAAAGATATAATGGTAAATAATGTACACTGAACAAAGCTTACTGCAGTAACTTGAAGAACAAGCACTGGTATTCTAAAATTTCTTAAGCTGTTCTTAGCCCCTAGGGGGCTTGTCAAGTATAAACAAATTATACCAAATATGAAAAAATATTATAGTTTAAAATTATAGTTTATATGACTATGTATATGGAGAAATTATAAATATATAAAAAGATAAAATAGTAAGAAATGTTTGTTATATATATTCTTGAAAAATTCTAGTGTATTATGTACTTCAATATTTATAATCTTTATAATAGATTATAAAAAGAACATTTTATGGTCAAGGTTTTAATAATTTCTTTAAAGGTTACTTTAACTTAAAAAGTTTATTGTAGTTACCTATTGTTATGGTCAAGGAGGATCCATTATATATTTTAGTAGCAATGAATATTATAACTATAATATCTTATAAATTTCCTGTTGGCTTCATTTTATAATTTATAGTAGAAATACCCTTCACTACTTTTCCAATATATTTAATTTTGGAATGATACAGGGATAACAAGATAATTTAAAAACCTTGTAAATTCTGTAAAAAGTTTATAATATAATGAAAAATATTATTCTTATTAATATCAGCGTTAAAATTTTCTTGACTTATTTTTTTAATTTGACGCTTTTCAGTTTAAAGTGCTAATTGTATTGTTTTTAAAAATGAAATCGTTTTCGTGCAAGCGTTAAGAGAGGGAGAAGAGATTTTTTACAATATAAGAAATAAAAAGTAGAAACTGCTTTATTCTTAGCAAGTTTATATGTTCAAAAAAAGTATGCAAAAAAATTTTAGTTTGAAGTTTTTACGATTTTGTATGAGCGTTAAAACTCTGTAAGTCTCGGGTACGTGCAACAAACCATAGCTTTAATGCGGACGGGGTAAAAAAGTCGAAGTTTAAGAGTCCAGTGGTTATAGGTTAATCCAAAGTGATTATTAAAATACATCTATTTACACTGTTTGGACTATTTGATCATTATAAGAAAGTAACACAGCATTTTAAAAATATTCCTACGTAATATAGTTTAACATTCATGTTTCGATAAGTTGGCACAACAACTTATTTACCGAAGTTTTTGGCCTGATTTAAAATTCTAAAGTTTTTACCAATACTTAAAATTTAAAAATCCTCATAAGATTTAAGCTAAATTATTTAATTTAATATTGTGTTCAGCAAAAATATTTAGTGTAAATAAAGGCTAAACGTGGGTTTAAGGCCTCCACATGGTACATACTATTCTTTTGTTAATTGGCATAATTTTGTTATTAGTTACGAAATAGGTACTATTTTGTTAAATTTGTTCTGAGGCATCCAGTCTTCACTTCCAGTAAAAGTTATACGTTGTTTTTTTTTAAGGGCCGCTATATTATTCTTTTTCTGTAACTGTAGAAGCTTTGTAGAGGCTTATATACCTTCTTTTCGTGATGGTTAGCAAGCCTCGCTGGCCTGATAATTCTCGTATTTTTCTTGGTAACTTAGTACCACAAGTTCAAGATAGTGTTATACGAGCTATCTTTTCAAAATATGGTCCAATTGCTGAAATTGGTCGTGCTTATATAATTTTTTCAGTATATATTTGTTTTACTATGTATTTTTCTAATATATAATATTAATCTAGTTCTTCACGAAAATTTTGGATTTGTACAGTTTGAGAATCCAACTACTGCCACCTTGGCCATAGAGAAAGAGAGAAATCTTACCATTGAAGGGCGTGAAGTAGGTGGGGATTTCTTGTTTATTTTTTGCTAAAAAAAATTATTGTTTTATTTGTGTATATGTATTTACTTTCAGTTGTAAGGCTGTCGAGTAACTTAGCTGATCGAAAAAAAAACGCGCTCAGGGGGAGGAGGGGAAGAGGAGGGCTGTACCTGCGGGAAAGGTACTTTTTATGTATTTAAATTATTCACCAAAAAATTTTGTTTATATAGTGGAATTAAATTTTAAAAATGATTTTTTTTAAAGTAGTGCTATCGATTACGACGGTTATCACGATTTGCATCCAGGAAGCTCTTTTGGTGCCCTCTTTGAGGTTTGGTTAATTTTAAATAATTTTAATCTTTATTTTAGGTTATCATGGTAAGTTTAAAGAATTTGAGCGAGAACCGTTTAGGGGTCGCGGCGGTCGGGAGAGAGTTAGAGAGCGTGGGAGGCGCAGGAACCGGTCAGTAGAAAGATTCGAGAGAAGACCGCGAAGCCGCAGTTATAACCGGTACAGCCCCAGCCGACGCTCGCGCTCCCGTTCGCGCTCTTTTTCCCGCTCCTCTCGCGCGCGTTCTTTATCGCGCTCTTTTTCCCGCTCCCGCTCACGCTCGATTTCCTCGGCGGACTATTCTGTTGCTGAATGCCAGATTATATACTACAAAGAGCAAACGTAAAGATTTCCTTTTTTATTATAAAATAAAATAATGTATTGTTTTTGTACTTAATTAGTGGCTATGTTAACTACTTGGCGAGTATTATTGAAAAAAATGGTTTGTCTGTTGGGAAAATTGTAAGTTGTACATATGAGACTATTGCTTATAAGAGTTGTAATAATGTATTTAAATTTTCTATAAAGAGAAGAACATTAAATAATTAATTCTATTTTATTGTGTTCGAGAGAATTATAGCAAAATTTTTGCATATTAGTTTTGATTTCGCTTCGTTTTTAGTTGCTTTGCATCATTAATAAATTTGAAAGTTTCATGTTTCTGGTATAAAGTTGTTTTTTATTATTACTTGCCTCCTGGCGCCCACGTGATCGCCAGCACTATTGCTGGCGCGCTATTTTTCCGTGACATCTTGCTAACGAGATTTTCTTAACTTTTTTTTTAGCTTATTCCGTCAAAAAAAATATTTGCTCCAAACTTTGCCGATGTCAATTTTTTTTTTTTTTTTTTTTTAGTGCCTTTCTCCACAGGAAAGCATCCCCCACCATATTAACCGGTTGATAGCTCGTAGGATTCCCTTCGTGTGCGTTGTTAATAGCCACGATGAAAAAAACTCGAGAACTTCCTTAAGCCTTTTATTAAGAAAGCCAGTGAGAGGTGCGCTTACTTTATCGGTTATTATATGCTTTTTTGCTATTTCTCCAAAGTCCATCCACGTGGGAAACACGTGTGTGTAGAGCGTGAATTACTCTTCATTATTATTTATTTACTGGTCAATAGATTTGCTGCACATCACTATTACTGAGGCAATAGAAATTCTGACTTACGAGATGCGGTTTATACGCAAGGTCGAGCCTGCGCCTCCGGCTCCTCGTAAGGACTGCTTTTTATATAAACCGGCCGTTTACTCACCAGCTTCTCTTTGCTTCCAGCGCCGCTTCTTGGCGATAACCCAAATGCAGACCCCGAAATTTCTGCTTTAAAGGATATTAACACAAATCTAAAACGTATACTTGCCCAAGCCACTAGTGGCCATCCCTCCGACATACCGCCTTCCTTTCCGGCATTGCCACAAGAGCAGCACCCTGGCATGGCTAATCCCGCGCCGTTTATACCCGCGCATACACCTCTCGCACCCCCCACTTTTGCGTCCACTCCCGTGGGGCCTCCTGTCCAGGCGCTACCCCAGCTTAAGCCTACTTATCCGTCTCAGATGACACCTTTTGGGTATGGACAGCTTTCAGGCCCCGTATCTGCCCCTCACATGCAGGGGCAACCGTCCGGCCCAATGTATAGTGCTTCTCTCATGAACTCTACTGGCGTTAGGCCCTCCTTTCAACCTCCCGCTTCGCAGCCGTATAGTTTTCAACCTGCATCCTCCTCTCATCTGGCTGGTATGGCGCACGGTCGTCCCCTTGCTCAACCAGTTAACGGCGTCGACATGGCTAACGCCCAGCCGATTAACTCTTTCCAGAGTACCGCCTACTCGACCAGTGCTAATCCACCAGTTAAAACTGAGACTCACGGGCCTGTAGACGAAAACAAGCTCTCTCGTTTAAAGGAACTTTTGAACTTTTACCGTAGTTCTAAACCTGAAATCTTTGAGGGAGCTCACTGAGACATCCTTGATACACACCTTTCCAGCGGCAGTTTTGTTGCATGGAGTGGACTTTTTTTTGTCTCAGCCTTACGTTTCTTCTTATAATATAATATAATATTTTCGTAATGTATTACTATTTTATCGTTATTATAAATGCATCATCGCTTTGTCTATTGGCATCGCACCTCCTGACCTTCGACGCATTTTGTTCGCTTTGCTTACGAGTTTGCAAAGCTTAAATAGTAATAAATAGTATTTATCCACTTTTTACTCAATTGGGTTTTTTGTACTTACCATATATATATATATATTCGGCGCTGCCTTACTTTGATGGTTAAAGTAAGGAGATTTTAATGGAATTTAAGATTAGAAATCCTACTAATTTTTTAAAAAGGAAAAAAACTAACAAGGCGCTGGTCGACCGCATAGTAAAACTCAGTAGTTCACTTGACGATAATTCAGATACTATTTTTTCTGTATATTACTATGCCACCTTTTTCTTGTTAAGGCTAGTCGCTTGTTAGCATTTTTTTTTTCGGTGATCATAGCGTCAATTAAACTAACCATTGCATATTGTTTAAACTGTAGCATTTGTAACCACGAATAATGCAGGGCTTTCCACTTGGATTATTCTCTTAACAAGTTTTTTAATTTACTTTTTTTTAACAAGTACTATAAGATTTTTAAATCATGGGATATACGTCATACTAGAAAAGGGTTGCACTTCCCCTTTCTCTCGGTGTTGATAACTTAGAAGGAATAACGATTTTTGATTTCACAACTGGAGCTAGTTTTTTTTCAAAAAATTTTTATTTGTTTAGTAATTGGCAGAGATTATAGGCGCGCTTTAGAGAAGGAACCGTGTTAGTGATGCTAAAAGTTAACTGAGTTCTTTGATAGAGTAAAAAAGGAAATATTAAGCAGGCTATGTTTCACAGCTATTTTTAGTATAGTTTAAAAAGTCGTAAACAGCTGGCCAATACTTTTAATTAGTAATTAGTTAAATGTATAAGTTAAAACGGGCTCCATGGTTCAGCGAGGGATTTAGATTAATATTGCTTTTATTTAAGTTCTTGGATATACGTAATAGTTGACTCTGGCTTCTGAACCAGTTATTTGAAACTATAAAAACCCTATACCATAACACCAGGAAGAAAGTAAAGTAAACAATAAGCCTTGGTTGTTGATATACATCTTTACGCGTACCATCAAAGATGCGGGAGTGCATGCCTTTAAAAAAAAGTAAAGCCGCATTTCTCAATATTAAAGCTTGAATGAGTATATCTTCAGTTAATTGTATGAGCTTGCTGGGCTCTCATAAAATGCGTGTAATAAAATTTTAATTGGGGATTAAATTTCCACTATAAAATTTTGAATGTACAAAATTCTCAAAGTTATAACAAACTTAGAAGTTGGTAAAAATCTACAACTTTTTTATAAATAACAAAGCGAAAAAAAAAAAGGTCCCGCTTTATTTATTAAAAGGTGTTGATCTTGGTGCAGCAGCGTTACTTAGCATCCCAGGCCTTCACCGGCAAACCAGTGCTTAAAAAACTCCCGGCGGCGGCGTCGTTGACGTTGATACCCGACCCATTGACGGGGCCGTGCGTGATCATCAGCCGATCGTTATCGAGTAAAAGCGGCTGAGGAACCTTTTCAGCGCGCCGTTCCTCCGCAAGTTTAGTTTGATGGAAAGCAGACAACTCGTGGACTTTATCTCCATAATTTTTCATGATCTAAACACGTGTTTTTTAAGTGAAAAGCACTTTCCATTGGCCGGGTGTACACAGCGCGGAACCTGAATAAGGTAAGGCATGGTATAGTCCATCAGCTGGTGACGCCACGCGTACTCCAGCACGACGTCGGGACGGAGCACGTGGAAACAAGTGTAGAGACAGGCAGCATAACAGACGTAGTTTTTCTGCTCAATAAAGTATTTCAGGAGATCTTCCGCTGATTCGGGATTGGCCAGCTCCGCGGTGTACTCGATGGCGTCAGAAAGGAGCGAATCAGATTTACAAAGCGTCAGGGCTAAGTCCCACCGCTTGGCGCTTTTGTAGAGAAAAGCGGCAATACGGCGGAATTCGAGTTGCTCGTGGTTTTCTATATATAAAAAGCGGGGGGGGTAGGTCAAATTGAGGACAAAGTCACGTGGGCCATATTAGTAAAAGGGAGAACCCAACTTCTTTGCCAAAGCGATTTTGTCGAAATTGTCGTACTTTTCAGTGGAGAGGCGCAGCATGTCGGGATTCTCCTCGTCGATGTACATTGTATGGATGACTTCATTCACAGCCTCGATGTTCCTGTCTTGAACGGATACCAAGTAATTCTTGACGAGGGCGAGGCTCTCGGTCTTCTGAAAAAACTTGACGGCGCGTACGTGGTCGATTTTGGACAGGATGGCATTCATCAGTTCGGATAACAGCGTGGGCGCATAGTCGATATAAAACTAGAAGGGGCAGGTAAGAGTATCACATGGAGGAAAGAAGGGCGGCGGGGCGGAGCTGACCTGCAGCGCCTTGTAGTAGAGTTCGCTTGCACCAACTTTGCTGATTATCTCTTTAAACTCGGAGTGCTTCCAGGCTTCGGTCGGATGGGCCATCGCCAGGCGAGCCGCGTTGTCCCAGTCGGCGTATTTGACATAGAGAAAGGCCAGCTCCTATCAGAAGGCGCCATCACGCATAATCAAGTGCACAGTCGAAAGAGGAGTTCCCAACCTTCCATAGATGCGCCCTCTCGGTGGCGCGTAGGACTTTGGGCAGGTTTACTCTAGACCAAAACATGCTCAGGTAGCTCAGCAGGCGTTCAGGCGCGTGAAAGGCGTAGAGAACGGCAAGTTCAGTAAACATGCCTTGAGGGCACGTGCGTGTAAGTAACGTGTTATTCTCGGCTGGCATTGGCGCAACCCATGTGGGCACGGTCCGAGCCGAGCGCGCTGTCCAAAAGGTCGATCAGTTCCAAAAAGTAGCCTCGACTGCCGCGGAGGTCTGGCACCGTGAGTGGTCGGAAGTGATACAGAACACCAACCTGCTGTAGAAATGGATGAGCCTTTCGAGCTCGTCGGTGTGGACGGCAAGGTTTTGTCCGCAGAACTGGGCCAGGCGGAAGTCCTTGGCTTCGACGCAAGCAAAGCAGACATCCCGCCACGTCTTGGTGCTGTGAACCAAGGACAGTGAGGGGCGGGTTAAGGCGGTGAGCAGGTGCTACTTTCTAATTCATGGTAAGGAAGTCAACCAACCTTTTGGCCTTCTTAGCGCAGTCCACGGCCGTCTGCAGGTCGCCCAGGCGGATGGAAGTCAGAGCGAGAAAGGCGTAGTTTGAGACGCTCCGGAAGATGATCTTTGCCGCCGCATACCTTTTTTAGTAAGTACTCGCCGTCAGCAAGGCAGGCCAATGAGAGCGTCAGGCAGAGAAGACACGCACAAGCCATCGTTGTAACACCGCTCCCCAACATTTTGCAGCTGGGCGAGTACGTTCGGGCCAGACAAGAAATCCTCCAATTCGCTGAGTCTTTCGCACTTGGCTAAGACGTACACCAACTCGGCCTCAATGAAGGGCTCTCTGAGTTTTGACTTCGCCATGACGAGAAACTTGAGGAGTTCTGAAAGTCAAACTTTCGCTAATTAATATGAAAGACAAGAGCAGGTGACAACACACCCGTGTATTCGCCTAGGCGACCGGCCACGTCCACCACTTCTTTGTAATTGGAGGGATCGCCCGCTGCAATGTACGAGTGGATGGCGTCCGTTAGAAGTAGTTTGTCGAGCTGTGCCTTCGCAAGGAGGCTGTACACTTCTGGTTGGTGGCAGTTGTTGGCAAACTCGGAAGCTCTTGTGGATCAACCAGTAAGCAAGAAGTGCTCGAAAGGAACACGTGAGCACCTCTCGACGTCGCCAATGTTGTTGATCAACACTTGCATGGCCGCCACGGCGTCGTCAAACTTTTTGTAGATGGTGAATGCCTCCTCGAATAAGCCGCTCTCAAGCGCTTCCCTGGCGATTTCCGGCGCGTCGTAGTTGTCGCAGCGGTTGATAAAGTCGATGACTTTGCAGGAATCCGCCTTGATGGCAGTGAGAAGAAGAAGATTCTGCAGACTTCGGTTGCTCCCAAACAACGAGGTGTTCTCGAGGACCTGCATGAGAAGCAATAGGAGTCCCGTGGTCTTCTAGCTGCCCCCCGAAAGTACGAGTTTTTCCAGAAGATCCAGCAACTCGTCAGGCAGAGCGGCCGTAAGAAAAGCCTTTACAGTCGTCAAAACGTCCTCGGCTTCCTGCGTCTCAGGAAGGGCAGTCTGAACCACCTGATCTATGACTTGCCGCCGGAACGGATTGCTCTTGTCCAGCACCTTCAGCGAGAGGGCAGCTTGATGAGGCCAATGGCGGGGGAAGCAATGAACGGCTATCCGACCTTTGCCCACAAATCAAGATCGCGCCTGGAAACCAGATAGCGCGCCTCATTTTTGAACATGGCGTTCTCCTGGCACAGCTGCAGTATGTCGGCGTCGCATCGACCCCTTCTGAAGGCGATGAAGGCGAGATGCGGATCCCGTCTGGAGGAGTAGCGGCCTATACAAATATTATACTGAACGGGACTGTCGCGTGAGAGGTGGTAGCCAACAGACCCACGAGCAAGGGATCGTAGTAGTGATTCTCGGTAAGAAAACGTTCCGCATTCTGATTGGAGTCGATGTATATTTTGGCCAATGCGGTGTGAATCCCGGGGTCCTGGCTGCCCTGGCTGACTTTGCTCTCGAGCCTGCAGCGAGGAATTGATGAAATTGTTGAGAGTGCACCCGGCTATGCTGGGCAAAGATGGGTTAACCAGGGAAGTATAAGGCGCAGTTTGTTTCTCTTTTCAATTTCATTGGTGAGCTCGGCAATCTGAGTAAATAAATTGTTGTTTTAAACAAGGGATATCCAATCAAAAATAATAAAGCGAGTACGTCAAAGCTAGATGGCACAGAACTAATCAAGTTTTTAATGAAGTCTTCCGAGCAGTCCACGTCCAGCAGAGCCCCTACCACCGTGGGCAGGCGGGATGTATTGACCTTTAAAGCGATTGACTGACTTAAAATCAATGAGAAGCGCGTGGGCTCCCAGTAGACCTTTTGGACGTATATTTCGATGTAATGGGTTAAGTTGTGGCGGTAGAGGTGCATCACGAGGTCATGGACGAATCCGTGCCGGTCGCACACGATGATTAGCGGGAGTTGATCCGGAAGGTTCGCATCCTTCAGAAAATTCTTGACACGCTCAGCGTCGTAACATGTGCTACAGATATGACGAGCGTTTTCTGCCAGAGTCGACCAATGCGGAGAATGCCCGTAAAAACCTTTTACGGCAGATGCGCTCGATCTCCTTGTTCTGGCCGAGTTTTACGGCGGCTTGGATGTACTTATAATGAACGTCGGCATCGTCGCTGCTGTCCACAACGGAGCGTAGGTAATGGAAAAGCCCTTCATAACAGTTTTCACCCTCGAACAATTCAATGAGACTGGCAGCACCTGTCGCAAAGCAATCATAGCATTCCAAGCACACACGGCCGAACATTGTAGCCACCAATGGCCTCATGGTACTTGCAGGCTATGAGTACGCACTTGCGCAGGTTCTGGCGGGGGTTGGCGGATAAAAGAGCCCGCAAGCATTCTAATGAGTCCTCCACATTCAACCGGCCAAAGTAGTTGACCAGCCACTCATCATTCAGCCCATCCGAGTGGGTAAGGGCCCGCTTGATATCAAAGACGTCACTGTAGAGCTCCAGAGCTCTCTGGTAGAGCCCTGCACGTGTCATCGTTCGACCAATCCGCAAAAGTAATGAGACAGAGGGCAGATCTACCGGCGTTCTCGCAGAGCTGAGCAATGTAGGAGCGGTCGTATTTGGAAAACATTCCATTGGCTATGATGGCATCTGCCACCTGCGGTGCCCCCGTAAGATTGACCTCCAATAGCTGTAAAGTATGACTTAATTCACCCAATGCGGCTTCGGCGTTAAAACAAAAAGCAAACTTTTGTTTGCAAAGCTGCATCCTCTTCTCGGTCATCCTTGAGGGCCTCTAAGAGAAACGCTGTAAAGCCGCGCAAATCGTTGAACTCGAGAAACACGTTGGCAATCGCGTTATAATCTTTGAAACGCCGTTGTTACTATGAATGTGCGAGTAGGCTGGCGCCGTGCAGACCTATAGGCTCTTTTTCGGCAAGTAGCATGTCTGCAAATTCTTTAGCTTCCTTGGGGTTGGCCAGCATCACTTGCCGGAAAACAGTGGAATAATCGGGGGTAAAATTGACCTATAGTCAACCCAATAAAATATCAAAAGAAACAGGCGATCAAATGGCGGACGGTTCCGACTTTTTTTGCGTAGAGAATAATCTTCTTAAACTGGCCGGTTTCTGCAAAACATTGAATAGCCTTCTCATGGCACTCCGCCTTACAAGCAATGCGTTAGGCCGTGTCACTCCCCCAGCGCATGTGTTAATAAGCTAGTAGTTACACGGAGGTAGACAGAGAGGGCCAAAAGGGGGTAGTAGCCCTTGATCTCGTTGGCTAGCTCCTCAGAACACTCAAGTTTCTCTTCCTTCAGCCATCTTTCCACTAAGTTCTGCCGGCCTGCTTGCAACGCCGGACGGACAAGCTCGATGGACTCCAGCCGGTTGAGGTGACCCCTCTCCAACAGCACGCCAAAGTACTGCAGCAAAGGAGATGGTTGCCCAGAAGGCGCAGGGCAGTTTCGAAATCTAAAAACACACAGTAAACTGCAAGTCACGTGTTCAGAAAAGAGTGTGACTTGCCTTTGAAGAGTTTCAGCAGTTCTCAGAACACCCTTTGGAGCCTGGGCCGCCACCAGCGCGGCTTCCGGGTATTGGCGGGCATTGAAAAGCTCCTCGAATCTTTGTGAAAAGAGCTCGTTAGCACCACTCAGATTGTTGCGGATGGCAAAGTGGGCAGCCAGTCGAGTGTCCCCCAGCTCATGTTGCATGTAAGGCACGACGGCCTCGAGATCGAGACAGACCACCAGGACCTTGTTAAGGTCAGTAAGAGGAAAAAAAGGGTGAGCTTGCACGGGAGTGGTGCCTTGGCATGCCACTTACGCGTCCTTTCTTGTTCACGCCCACAATCCCATTAGTCGATAAGTGGGGCGCCGTGCAAAATATCGGTTCCTCCGAGACTCGCGTGCGGTAGAGGCAGGTGCCCGTCTCCACTTCATACACATGAACGAATCCGTACTTTGTTACGGCGTACACGACGCCCAGTTCATCTGAAGCCTGCATAGACACGGGAAAGTCGGCTGGAAAATCTGAGAGCCCGCAAGAACGCGAGTAAGGAAAAGAGGTGTGTGGATTGGTGGAGCCAAGGAAGCAACCCGCCGAGAAATAAAAGGGAGAACACTTCTTATCGAAGCGTACTGAATTCCGCTCCGACGTGGCCAAGTCCGTAAAGTAGATCTACCAGCGAAGCAACGGTAAAAGAGCCTAGACCAATTCACCCTGCAAAATGTGCTGTACCTTGTCGCCCTGGGAACCGCGAACCGCAAAGGATAGAACGACAAACGGGCTCGGGTTCGACTCGAATTTAAAATTAACAAAAGTCGCCGCGTGACCTTCTACAATCTGACTGACTCCCTTCTCTACTGAGTACAATTGCATGCGACCAACCACTTTAGTCTGCCCTGGAGCGCCCGTCTACACACATATATATATTATAATTCAGCGAAGCAGCGTTAAATTTGCGTATGTAGTGCACAAAAGCAGTTACAAGACAACAGATGTTAGCAAGCACCGGAACGCAAACGCAATTTATAGGGAAAACTACTTAACGACGTCCTAAAAACTGAAAGCTTGTAAATACATTTTCAGCGGCAATCCCGATAAGAACAAGCCAATTCTGCTGTTTATCAGTAGTATAGTTAATAATACTACTCTCCTTGAGGCGATTTTCTTTATCAAAAATTTTAATAGGATTTGAGTCGCCTGTTGAAATTAATACAATTAAGTTAATTAAAAAACTATATATATATACCTTCCAATTGCCAATGATAAACGCTCATAACTGTAACAATGGCCAGCATGGAAGTATTTATCCAACGCCAAAAAACTACTTCTTCGTTCATAGTAGCATCTTTCTTTTTTGATTCACGTTGAATATCAAATATTTGAAGAACACTGCCGGCTAAAAGTTATATTTTATAAACATCTTTTGATGTACACTAAAGTTTATTATTTAAATTCAGATATTCCTTACCTCGAACTGCCACAATTAATGAAGTCGGATGCATAATAGCAGAGTCGGCAGAAATTTTAAGTCGCAAAGGTCTTTCAGGATTTTCTAATCGGATAATATTCATCTGTTTACGATCTCCTACCTGGTTTAACGCGCAGATAAAAGTATCTGATTGCATCGTGCACTTGTCAAACAGTATGTCCGACTCGCTGATACCGCAGCTTCCAAGCTAATTTTATAACATCGTTATTAATTATATAAATTACTTTAATTCAAAAATACTATCTTTATAGTCTATCTATCTACCCGAAAAAGTTCTTGAACTTTTATTGGTTTCGACATATTTATATATTTTTCCGGTGATTATAAATCAAACAAAAGTCCTAATTAGAGATTTGGGAAAATTTTCTGTAATTAAGTGCTAGACTTATTAACTGAATAAAGAAACAGATTCGGTAAAGAAGGTAAAAGACGTTTAATCTTAAAAGAGATTCTGCAGTTGTAAAAAACTTAGATACAGTAAAGGAAACAGCAAGCTCAAAGTTGCCCTCGACAAAAACGCCAAATTTGACCATATCATAACTTTGTATAATGACTCCGAAAAATTTTTTATTTAGATAGAATATATTTTAATTACTAAAACTAGTTTGAACTACTTATTTGAACATATTTTTTGGAAGTTGGTGAAAAAATTTTCCCAACGTTATATAATTTTTTGATTTTTTTATATAGGCAATTGCCTTGACGATACGTAACCTTCATCTATATGACGAGATCGAAAGGGAAATTTTTTTTTTGTTAATCATTTAGTTTTTCGACTCTGTTTCATAAATTATTAGCAATAGAATTGTAAACTGATTTATATATACGTTCATGTATTTTAAAGAGTTATACCTGATAGTATAAAGCGCCGTTATGTAGCTACGGCCCATGTAGAAAAAACTGGTGAAAATTATTTCAAGTTTGAAAATTGTAAACTTTAAGATAAACAGTGTTAAGTTATAGCTTTTGCAGTAGTAAATCAGTTATGCTCTCTTCCCATCTTAGCTATCTTTTTTCCTTTTACTGCCCTTTTTTTGCTCCGTAAGGTGGTCCTTGTCGGTCTCCTCTAACGCGAGCGCATGTCTTGAAATTGGTAGTAGCGCCCCTTCAAGAGCATAATACGGCCGCGAGAAAAGTTACTTAGATACGCAAAGCAAGAACTTGCGTTATAGTTGTGCATAACAGTAAATAAAACATCTTATTGCAACAAGCTTGCACTGTGGTTTTAAACAGAAAACGTCTGTTTAGGAATTAAATATATATATGTACTACAGTTAGCAAAAAAAATTTACTACTAGTGACAGTATTTAAAGTGTTTGCGCGTAGTTTGTTCAACAACAACCCTACTTTTTTATTTTTACTGGCGACAAATGTAGGGTAATTTTAATTAAATTCACACGCAAGACTTTTATAATTTAGTAAATGACACTTCTGTATGAGTTAGTACTTTAGTTTTTCCCAGTGGGAGCTCTGAATAGGCAGGAAAAACTTAGTCGCAGCCTTCTTGGATCCAAAGTTAGTCATATCTTATCAAGTATTTCTTTCAAATTAATGTTAAACAATGCAAGTAATTAAAGATTTAAACAAATTCTTAAAAACCTATATCTACCGTAATTTCTATGAAGCTGGTCCTTTCCTCTTCCTTATTTAAAAATACGCTTATTAATTTTTCAGTTGAACATATAATAAACAAAAAAAGTTGCTCCTCAATTAGTAATGACCAGTATAACTTGTAAGTCGCAAAAAAGAAGGATATACTCAAGCACTATGACGAAAACTACGAAGTATATAAATATTCGAATTTTACAAAAATAACTATATTTATTTTATAAATTAAAGAGTGGAAGAATCCAAGCTTATTTTGATGGAAACGTTTTGTATATGATCCTTAAGATCTATCATCAAAGAAGAATTAAAGCTGTAGTAGAACTTTAAAATGTTCCACGCCTTTTCAAGTAAAGTTAAGGCTTCCTTTAACTGAAATTCATTACAATGCAGCTTGCCTATTTTGTAAAGCTTCAAAGGGGAGTTACTATAACTAACAAAGAGAAGGCAAGGCCTAGAAAAATCCAAACAATGACAATACAAAAAAAAAACTTCAGCGATGAACAAAAAATGTTGGATCCAACGCAAAAGAAAGGCTAAACCTGAAGTGCATAGAGAGGATGAAGTTCTGAATAGTGAACTTCCATCGCAGGCAGTGCTCTCTCGCCATAGGTGATCGCCTATTTAAGCAAATTTTACTAAACTATCTTAGGTATACCAGTAATTTTTTGAATTTTATGCAAAAGGGTCACATTTTAATTAACTGACTCTGCGCAATGCAAACGAGAAATTTATTTCAGGATCAAACTTAGTCTTAATAAAATAATGAGCTTTAATTTAATCTAAAGTCTACTTGGCCAATAACACGTGAAATAAATGCGCACAGGAAAGGTAATAATAAATTAAGATTCCCTAATAAAAATGGGGCGGATCGAAACTTTTCCTAAAATTAATTTGCCTCCCCAACAAGGCAGAGTGGTTCGCTGCAGTGTTTATGCAGAGATTTACTGTACTACACAGTAAAAAAAATTTAATGAAATGATTTATATATAAAAAATAAAACACACCAAGAGGAAAGTGCTATACCAAAGAAAAAATTGACTTTTTTTTATTTTTATAATTGCAAAGTTGACAGGAAAAACGCGAATTTCGGAGGTATAATTTTAGGAGCAAACGTACAAATAAAATACGAATTACAAAATTTAGTGGTTCTCCAAGTAACTTTTGTTAACCCAAAAAAAAAAGAAATCTAAACGAGCAGTCGATACCCATCTCAAAATGTAATCAACTAACATAATTTTCTACATCCTAATTATCAGAATTCGGGGGATGAGGATATCCTAATTTACTAAAAACTTAACTAATACGACTTTCAAAACTCCACGATCAAAACTCTTTACCTTTCTATAAAGTTGAAGTTCAATGCACAAATCCATCGCTCGATTTAAATAAGCAGCGACGTGCACATTTAAGTCGCTGCTAATTTCCAAATAAAAATGGATGAGTTTCTCGATAAGCTTCAGTTGTTCAGAACGATCTGAATAATTTAATTTATAAAAATATAAACATTCAAAAGATCGGCACACCTTTTAAAAAAGGAAGCTTATCGCAACAAGCTTTTATGCAAGAAAAATAAAAGCAAAGATTTTCTTTTTCCACAATCTGTTTTAGTTCACCTTTACACGAGTGATTCGCTACGCAACATCGTAAAATAAATATTTAAATATAAACAGTTAATTATATAATTCTAAATTGAAATAAAAAATAATAATAAAGAACCAATCCCACTTTGGTCATAAACGAGAGACAAGCAACAGGGACATCTATGTTCCGCTTCGGCACCCTTTTTAAAAGAAAACAATCAAAATTACGAAAGCAATGAGCGTCAGCAATTCACCGTTGAACCATCTCTGCATTTCTCGCACTCGCATACGAAAAGATAACGCTCTTGAAGTTCCTTTTGTCTGGTGTGCTTATCTTGCATAACATCTATGTAAGCCACGACGATCTGCATACGCAGCGGCAAATTATCCTAACGAAACACTAATTAAAAAAGTATTTCAGTACTTCTTCTCCAGAAAAAATATTTTTAAGAGCCTTCAGGATCAGAACGTTTCCTTCAAATAGAAAGATAGCGTTCGGGTGGCAGCTGTGATTCACTAACGAAGCCTGTACAGCGCGGGCTTGAAAAAAAAAAATGTGGACGGCTCGCAAGTGACCTGCAAGTATAGGCCAACGGCGACGTACTGGAGATCTTGATTGGAAATTCCCACGGCATTGCAGGCAAGCTAGTTAAAACAACCTCCCAAATGATATTCGCTAATGCGTGTTTTTTAAAAAAAATACACGAAACAGGATTTGCAGTAAATCTTCTGCTGTAAAATGAAAGTGACTTTTTAGGTAAGTTATAAAATCTCTATTCTCTATAAGTAATTGAGCTAATTGAGATTCCAATGCCGTGTTAGCCGAAAGCTCTCTGTCTGAGTTATAAGCAAAAAATATCAGCGTGAGGAGGTTGTAAATATAAACAACATACTAGATTTCAACGTATAAAAATCGGAATCTTTTAAAGAGATCTATAGATACGTAATAAACTATGGTAGAAAAAGGCAAAGAAAAATAATTTAACAATTTTCATAACAGTTAAAAAAAATAATTGCCAGTGTACATTTCTCATAAGCGTAAACTAAAGATCATGTAGAAAGATGGAATTATTAGCCTCTCCACTATATAGTTATCGTAAAAAAATTCTGTGATAAAGCAAAATGGCAATAACTTTTCATATTTCGTAAAATATATAAACAGCTCGTCGTCTTAAAATTACAATAAGAATATAAAGCAAACCTGCTTTTGTTTAAGAAGGCAAAGTAGTTTGCTTAGCAGTTGCAAAAGTTCAGGGACTGCTTTTAAACAAGAAACTTTTGAAAAGGTTTTAGATTGATCCTTCCTACTTGTGTACCAGTGGCACAGCAACTTATGAAAAGGCCAGTCTTTACTCTACACAATTTACTTATAAATTGCTAAAATTTTATTATAAAAACTAATATAGAACACTTGACAACTAGAAGAGCAGTAACGAACAACACGGCAGCCACCACACAAACTAGTTTGAACTGGTAAAAGACAACTGAATGGTATGTAGAAGGAGAATAACTCTAAAAAAACTTCTAACAGTTACCTGTGGCATAAGCTTTTAGAAGAGCAGCATACTAAAAGGGGATGTTCTTGATAAATGGTAGACCCTGATTACCAAAAAATATATATATAAGATAGGCCATAAACATAAAATATTTACAAAATATATAATAATTATATACCCGTTTTGAAAGATTTTTTGCTAAAAATTTTTCTATCACCATCTTGAAATTTAATTTTAAATGAAGCCATCAGGATGATTCGTATTTCTACAGACTGAAAAATTTTTTTAAAACTACATTGTACAAAAATATAAGCATAGACTTAGCGAGCTATAAATAGTTGTACCTAAGTATACTTGTAGATAAGCCACGTATATATAGAATTAAGAAACCAACCTACTCAGCACCGCTATTGTAGTTTAAAAAAAAGTTGTGTGAGAAAGCTTAGGACCTAAGCTTTGCAGCTACACCTTGTTGTGGGTACTAACGATCAAGGCGTCTCGTGGAATCTTTTGCTTACTGAATTTAGTGGCTTGATCCAAAATCCTGTACTTGTGGCCTGCATAGTTGATAGATATAGACTTTTGAGGAAATTTGCATTTGTGAAATTAACAAGTCCTTCTTGGAGCCGCGCAAAAAAAAGATTGACGTTACATTACTTTACGTGTTTACCAACCTAGTGGCCAATGGACCTTCTACTTATGTGTAACTTTGATTGAAATCTTTAGTTTGTTAGGGTTTATTCTGCTGGATAAATTTTTTATGTTGATTTAGTTACTAAGCCATTAATTTATAATATTAATTTATTTTTCAACTTGTCAATGTGGCTTACACTAATTATCTATTGTTTAACCAACCTGAAAGTTATTTATCTTTTATTGAATTACAAACATATTATTATCCTTAATTACTGTATAATTAGTGGGGAGGTGTTAAAAATTAAGGCTAGAAAACTATATGCAGGATCTGTGAGGACTTATTAAGAAAATTATTTCTCTTTAAATTTTACGATTAAAGATACTGGCGAAGTTGTTCTTTAACTGATATAAATAAGTTTAACAGAATAGCTCTTTTAAAGGAAGGTGATAAAAAGGTATTAGATAAACGCTAAAAGCTACGAGCGTTGAAAACCGGATTACTTCGAAAGTCAAGTACAGCTTAGTAGAATAGTCCCACTCGGCGAGGAAACTGTGATAAATTTTACTTTCAAGCCCGCGCGCTTTTAATTATATATACTAGTTAATAACACTACCACTAACAATACTATTACAATACAACTATTCGAATCATTTATAACAGTATTATTATACACCCACAATTATTTAGCTAAACGTTGATATTATTGTATGAATGACTCGAGAGCGAGCATAGTGTCGTTAATCATCACTCCTTAGTACAACAGCACTGTAGTTTGCGTTAGACCTTCTACTTGTGAGGAACTAGCTTCTTACTAACTTAGCTACTTAGAACCAATATTTTTTTTATTTAATAGTGTAAATCTTAGTTGCGAGAGCTCTGCCTTATTTACATCTAAGAAGAAATAACATCAGCAGGCAATGCTAATATACTATGCGTAAGCATATAAGTATTCAAGTTTATTAGTTTAAATACTAAACCCAACAAAAGCTATCCAGAGATCGAAACAAGTCTAGTTAGTGAACACGAAAGCACCAGGCACAAGGCATGATACTAACCTTAATGATTCCATTCCAAGATATCGGGAGGTTAGCACCCGTCTAATAGCTAAAGCCAACACCGGGTTTTTACCCTATTTTCAGAGCATGTCTTCGGTACGTGGTTTATTAAGTCTTATTTCATGCACCAGCTGCAGCTCTCCGCAGTAGTATATCCTCTCAACCGAGCTCATATCAGGAAGGGGCCGTAATAACGCTTTACTGGGCTACATAGTTATTTAGCTACTAATGTCACACTTGATTTCAAGTATCAAACCGGGTACTAGCACGTTTAGTTAAGAGTAAAAATTAACCAAACAGAGAGATTACTAAAACATTAAAACTGACCCCTTAGAAGAGTAGAGGGTGACATGTCCCCACGATATTAGTCTGCAAAATGTCATTCCACCCGCGGATGGCTCCCAAATTTCCACACTAGACCGTAACCATCGTGCAGTCACTGGAATAATAACGATGGACGCGTATCTAACATAGGACAATCTTGTTTGACCGCTTGAACGACGATACACCTGGAGAAGAAACAGTAATCCTTACGAACATGAAAAGTGTAGAAATTGTCGGAAAGCAACAAGAAAAAACTAACAGCCAGGCGTCCCACTGAGAACCCAACCACCATCGCTAAGGTATAACCCAAAGTGCCTGACTTTAAGTCATAGCAGAATGATAGCTTAGATCGCAATGGTCGCATAGGCAATGCAGGATGTCTTGCTAGGCGAGCGCTTAAGATGCCAAATATATTGAAACATCCAAAGCGCTGGCACAGAGGCAAAAAATCATCGAGAACAAGTCCAAGTTCTCTTTTACCTCATTTTACAGGGCTTAACTATTGAAAAAATAGTACCATTAGCCAGAGCTCTGTGTGAATTTTTTTTATTTTTTTTAATTTAATAATTCAATAAGGTCGTTATTAGTTTGCTTTGTTGCTTGGTAACGAAGATAAATATTGGATATACCAGGTAACAATACTCTCTATACAGTCCCAATACCACACTAATACTACAGCACATCCTAGGTACTGGCAGGAAGCACTATTATCTTTAGTCGAATTACTTCAACCAAAGAGCACCAACCCCCAGTACATAGCACAATACTATAATACTAAACAGCATAGTACTGCATACTACTATTTACTTTGTACGTAAGTATACATTTATTTGATAGATAATGTTTAGCCTTCTAACTTTCTATAGTAGGCGCCGTGATAAGTGCAAGTGCGTTGTTAGCGTACCACCCATACTAGTGATCCTCTTACTTGTGACCCCAAGTTCGCTCCGGGAGATTATGTATCAAGTTCTTTATTGAGTCAAACTTTCGTATAAACTTGAAGTACGCCAGAAGCTTTCGGCCGCACCTATTGGCTTGGGAGCGCAGGTAGCACTTGTCCTTCAATTTTGTCAGATCGTAGTTTCTGTGGGCCCCAAATAGAGAGTCACAGGGAGCAAAGCACGGACAATACAGCTAGTACAGACGAGGCATTGCTAAATAGCATTCATTGTATGTTTGATTACCAATAGACAAACTGCAAGGGCAAGTGGCATATGCTAACTCGGAAAAGCTAAACATATTTCTGCAAGTCTCACTGTACAGTTCAATGCCGTTTCACCTTCCATAGTTCTATTATCATTTTATATTTAACCAATTTTAAGAGTATATCTTTTGTTACACGGGTCTTACTTAGCACTCTCCGCTTACTCTTGTCACTATGTTACTTTTGAGAGGCAACCGTACTCAGAATTTTAGGTTAGTGTTAAATGAATAAACTTTACGGTTGCATAAGAGAACGATAACTAATATCATACAAATAAAGGTAAAATAGAACACGTTAAAGACTTTATCAATATTTGATTTTACAAATTTTAAAAATCATGTTTAAACTCAGGAAGCTAAGATGAAATACAGAGCAAATCGCTTGAGGTTACTGTATGATTTCAATTAAAGTCACTAAAGCTTTCAATCCTAGAGGGTTCTAAACATCACAAAGCTAGTTCGTTACATTAAACGTTGAATCCTTCCTGGGATGGATATCTACTACGTGCAGCGCAACCCGTTAAGTTACGAAGTCGTTGTCGAAGAATGCAGTAAAGTTGCAACGTAGTATTTTACTATAGGGCCTATTCTTTAGGCTGCTTTAACTTAATTAAGTTTCAGTTTCTTCCTTGCTAGTATTCCTTGGGATAGAGTTAGACTTCCCTCATTTTCAATTTATCTCTGCTGTTTTTACATCGATTGAATTAACTTAAGTACTTTTAGCCTTAAAGTTAGTACTAGTTGTTTATTTTCCTACGGTTATGTGGAAAAATTAGTAGGCAGAACCTCAAAGTCTTTTGAAAAATAGCTCGTTACTTACACAATATTACTGACTAGACTCGAACTAGTTTCTTCAAAGTTGACCGACTTATTACAGTAAGGCGTTCTACCAAAGTAAAACCCAAAAAAAAACGTAAAGTAATAAAGATTAAATTCTAGGTGATTTGGCTACCCAAAGGGCGACTAAGTCGTTGGATTGAACCCTAGCCAAATAGAAAAAAACAATTATGACAAGACGTGTAAGACTAGCATATTATTCTTTATATAAAGTACTAAAATCCCCTGTATAATAGAAATACATGAAGGCAAGTAACTTTTCAGTTAATAGACAGTTTAATTTGGGCCTTTTTAGGAATAATTATATTTATGACAAAAAAGATTGTTCTTTGAGAAACAAATTTATGTTAAGCCGACCTATTAAAGGCACAAAACACCTTAACAATAGAGCCCCGCTTATCTCTGAGACGCGCGTGCAAGTCCCTTCAAGTTAAGATCATCAAAGTTTTTCAAACGGCATATTCCTTATTTTTAATAATGATATATCATTCTTGCCAGCGCTTCTGAATGTATAGTTTTACAAAACTCAAATTTATACCGTTCGTTTAAAAAATTGACTCGCATTTTTCCTGCACGTAACAATGAAATATCGATCTTGCCTTTAAATATCTTTAAAAAGGTCCAATTCTTAACATTTCTTTAGGTACTGTTTTATTAAGCTCGGTTTCCTCTTATAAAAAAAATTTATCCTCACAAATTTCGAAAGCTCCGACTTACAAGTATGCAACACGAAACTCTATACCGTTTTTTAATAAAAATTGCTCTGCATAAATCTTTTAAAATATTTAAAAATTTGCTTATTTTTTAATAAAAACTTTTTAAAGTAAAAGATTTTTCTAGTTTCCAGTTATTAAGTTCGGCAAGAATAAAAACATCTACGAAACGAGGCTTTTGCGAATTGAGTTGAACTTGCAATTCCCCGCTAAGGGTTTCTTTGTAAATTGTAAAAGTTTATGCGTAAAAATTATAAAAAAGTGTAAAATTACCGTCTTGATAGACATCAATTAGTTCGTCAAAGTAAAACAAAGTTTGACTCCAGTGCGTAGGTCTTAATTAACCAATAAAATAATGATAGAATAAGAAATACTAAGGGGTTACGATCTTTCAGGAGAAGTTGAGAGAGTAAGAGGCTTAGTGGTTTCGTCGCTCAAAAATTCTCTATGCCAAAAAGTGACGTCAAACCACGCGCCTAACCCCGCCAGCTTACCATCTCCTATAAATTTTAAACAAAAAGGCGCCCTAAAGGCCTGCGAAGATTATGAATTGAAAAAAAAATGCGCTCAAAAGCTTTTCAAATCTTCACCTTTATAGTATTGAGTGTGGCTGTGTAGCAGTCAACCATATAAACAGTCTGAGAAAAAGATAAAATTTGTTCGGGCTGAAGTTGCTCGACTTGCACTTCTTTAAGAAAACTTTGACGGGCCTGCGGCCTTTACGTTAAAAAATTAAGTTGGTCTCGCTGAAGCCATATTAGTCATAAAGCGTAATATTGCTTACGCTAAACTACTCATTTTAACTCCATAAAGTTTAGCTGTGGAATCCCAGAAATTTAACTTCTCCTCCAAAAGAGTATCGGCCGAAATCGCACAAACATGGATTTTGGCTTGCCCAGGAAGAATAATACCGCCCTTAGAGCAGTAATAGTATACAAAACGTTAAAAATTTAAAATCGAAAGATTAAATTAGTGTCTACACCTCCTGAAGCCAGTGATCTCTAGCGTATATGACTGAAGACAACATATTTTCAAACAACAAGAAGTAGCCCATCCATTCACTAACAATAATATCTACCTTTCACCACTAAAGTAAAAAAAAAACTTATTTATACTTGATAAGATAATACTACTTTCTCAGGAAGAATAATATCCTCAATTTTCGAGTGAAACGTAGTGATGACATGTTGGAAAGAATTTTCTTCAATTACTTTTTTAGCCTGATAAACAATGTCACTTGCCTCGACAGCGTATACTTAAATAGCTACAAAGCAAAGTACTTGGAAAAATAAATTCTTTTATTGTCATACCTTTGCGAGCCCCAGCTTTTGCGCAAAAAATAGACAAAATACAAGTCCCAGCGCCTACATCCAAAACCACTTTATTTTTAAAGTACTTGGAATATTCCTCTATCGCCTTTCTATAAGTATTTGTTCTTACAAAATCCCTATATAATTATCGAATAAATAATATAAATATTAACAAATTTTATTTGTTAAAAAATAGTAAAAACATACCTAACCATATCTTCATGAACTCCAAGATCTGAATATGCTTGAAAATAATGGTCACTACTTATTAAAAAATAAAAAACATTTTAACAGATAAATAGAAGTAGATAAAATCCTACTTATCAGTATCCCTTTTTAAGCGTTTCAAGGATATTGAAGACGAATTTACTGCGGCCATGATGGTAAAAGGTAAAAGTTTCAAACAAAGGTTTATTTAGATATGGAAAAGGGGAGGTAGAAGGCCCACCTCTGCAGGCAGTAATTTTTAGTAGTCGTTCATGAAGCCCCGAAAGTCGGGACTGCGCAGGACTTCTCTGCGCTACTAACTGGTAAGAATTCTCTTTAACCCCTCTAGTCTATTAATTTTTAAAAATGACGCTTCTGATAGCTTAAGTTACTTTAAAAATGACACACTATAAAAAAAAATTATCCTATCCTAAAACTTGAATCTTGAGTTTACAAAAGGTAATTAAAGTTATCGGTTTTTAACTTTTTTTAAAAAATAAGTTTGTGAGTGCTATGAAATTAAGTGATAATCAACTTAAAAGTATAAGGGATGGAAAAGAAAAAGGAAAACAATGGAGGTAGTCAACTTCTCTAACTTTTTCGTTATAAAAAGGTACAAAGGGGAGAGGTGGGAAGTTTATAATGTTACCTTTTATTATGCTTCTATTTATTACCCTTTCAGTATCCAAAAGTTTATCTAAGTTACTCGCCTCGTTTTTATAAACTTACAAGTTTAGTTGGAATATCGCACTTTTGTTCAGTCTGTCAGTGTGTCGGTGTGTACTGTATGTCTAGCAGACGGGAAGTTTCAAAATTAACATTCACGGGCGGGCTAACTCTGTAATGACTTACACGTCCTCAATATCCCTTTTTTTTAATTTTTTTTATTTATAGTTCCAAGTAGCTTATACATGACCCTTCCTTCCCCCCTGTGTCATTATGCTTGTAGTTTTCTTTAAGGGTAAGGTTAAGGTTAAGAGTTAGGTATATCTCTCACTCCCCCACCTCAATCACCAGGAAATTACTCTAACCGTGCATTTAATTGTTCCAACGTAGAATAGCTGAACGGCGACTGCCGGCATGGATATAGCGCTCGTCTAACGCTACACATTTTTCATCTCTGTCCCTCACCTTCACACCAACCTCTCTATGTATTAAGTTTAACTTTTATAAATAAATGTAATCGGAAATTCATATAATTTTGTTAATCATGCAATATTTACTACCTTCTTTTTGGGCCCTCCTAAAAGCAAGCTAACTTTTGATTCTTACGCAGCCAAAACTAACTAAAGCTACATTTTTTCCGGGCCCCCTTTTAAGAAAGGAGACGAGAAAAATTATCTCTTAACTTTTCCAGCCGGTACGAACTTAGCAAAATTTATTAATTTCTTCACTGAATTTAAGCTTGTAGGATTCTATCCCAATAATTGGATCTCTTTTAGTTAAAATTAATTTAATTCTTTGTGGGTTGTTCCACTTTGAAGTAAAAAAAAGTCACCTTGACCACTGACGCTGGTACTAACCAATCGAGTTACTAAGGAATAACAATTAATTCTCAGTATGAAATCTATATGTTAGATATATATACTAATTAACTTGTTCAAGACGATGAAGCTTCTTAATACAAGATTCCACTGCGAAATGAGAGAAAGATCTGTTCGGTGCCGCTCTGCCGGGTTAATACAAAATTTTTATCACAAAATTTTAGCAGGTTTAGTTCCATTGCTAGCTTAATAAATACTTTAGTTAAGTACATTAAAATAGACCCGTAAAATTTTATTGAGCTGCTCTCCTCCTTTTATCAGTAAAAGCATTTCCATAATATGGTGAATTAAATTAGACCTTAATAGGTGCAGAGACTATTAGAGCTATAAATTAACAATAAAGTATAAAAATAATATTACTTTTATGGTATGACAAATTTTAAACTTAAATCGTTTAGTAAATTTAATAAATGTCGTACATTGATTTTGCACTAAGAAAGTCATAAATGTTGAAATGTAGGAGTAATGAATGTGAGGCACCTTTTTGACGCTAAATAATTACTCGACTCTAAAACCTCCACCTCAAGAGGATAGATTGCTTTACCGACAAAAGTTCACATTTTTTCTAATTAACAAGCCCCTCTCGCGTAAAAGTACTTTGTTTAAATTGCCCTTTTATTTTCCTTCTCATGGGCACACATTTGCTCGTGTTGAAGTTTAAAATGAATTTAACCAGTTAAGGTTAATGAAACACAAACTTAGTAATGGATGATTGCTGTTAGTGTCATAAATTTAGAGCTCCCGACTCTACTTACCAAAATTAGTTTTTTGACTTCATCATAAAAAATGATTTTTATAGTGCTACTTTAACATCATAAAATCTTCGTAACTATTAGTTATTTTACAAAATTTATCCTTTCTTAAAAGACCTTGCGCGTTACAATAGCTTTCTAATTTGAACGTAGTATATCTTGACATAAAAGAACTTGTTAAAGTATGTGGTACTCAAATTGAGTTTTTTTCATAAACTTCGTGAAGTTAACTAATTTTTTCTTTCGAGTGGGACAGGCCCTTAGATACTCAACACAGGACACCTCACAACTTATGTTCCCCAAGGCTAGGCTCGCTGTTTCCTTTTCTATTTTCGCTTGCTCTCCTTTACTTCTCGTTAACCCTCCCCCCTTCTTTCTTCTATTATTTCGGTAGACATGCCTATGACTTATCTACGAGATAAAAAAGAAGTTTACTATATGACGCCTACAATAAAACGCGACGCCTTATTCCTTCAGTGCAATGGATTCTCAAGTAAATGAGATACACTTAATATAAATTATATTTCAAGGGTTTGCAGACTAATATTTTGTCTTTTGAATGCGACTTATGTGTAAGAGCCACCCGGCATAAAAATAAATTTAAATTAATATCTTCAAAACCTTTTCTTCTTAGGGAGGAATACTGAAACACGCATGTTATTTCGTGACTCGCTTTATTTGCTTAATTCGCCCCAAAATTTAGTAGTACTGTAAGAGTAAAAGGTCCCAGGTTTAAATAAATTTCCGTTGCGGAAGAAGGCGACTACCGTTGTGATGCTCACGAAGGCATCGTAACCGGCTTCTACGCTTATCAAATAACCTCTTGTTGGCATTTAGCAAAGTAGCTAAAGCTGCTGTTTGACGCCGTTTACAAGTGCCTCCTGGCGCGACCATGTCTTGCTAGAGCATTAGTGTGGATTGAAAAAGAGCGCTCAAAAACGCAACAATTCTTCCTGCGGAGATAATGGATGGCCCCCTCTTCAAAGGGCAGCAGGCTCCATTTTTCCTGGCGCCGTACCTGGCGACGTAAACCTCAAGTGCTTCTTACACTAATTGCGTTTCCCTCAAGTCCTTTTTTACCTTACTCAAACTTCACTTTAAGGACCGCAGCTATTATACGGGTGTAGGCAATGCACTCTTAACCCAAAACTCCTAACAGCGGGGACCTAACAAAGTCCTCTTGTATCATCCTTGCTTTTTACATTTTATGTGCACGACATGCCACAGCTTGACAAACTACGATCACCTAATACGCAGATGATTCTGGCAAGATAATATTGGCCCCAGTTGCCGTCTTTATTGCGCTAGCATCCGCAGTGCTACTTAGTTACGCTGGCAAACTAGGGTCTTCGTAGGAGACTCACATTCTCAATGCGAAAATAAGCGCACTATACCACGAGTACCCTGATCTTTAAAAGCTTGTAACCACGTAGTGTTTCTAGACAAACTACTTAGGCGTCATCAAGGACAATAAGCTGTTATAGCAGTAGAACTTTTATTCCTCAGTGGCAGAGATCGAGGCGGAGACCCAAACTTTATACTCTTTATTTTGTCTCAGAGCAAACTATCGATGCGCAGCAAGCATGTATCCGACCAGTTATGACGGAACTTCGACTCACCGCAAAAGCGTTTTCTCTCTTCTAGTGAGATACAAACAAGCTACTACGCGTCATTACGGACGGGCGGAGTTTGCGCATATTGAGACTTCCGTCTTGAGCCTCGGTTAGCAATGCTATCACCATTTAGGAACGGCTTACCAAGCACCCCTATTGATCACTAGAAGGACTCAGTTATTTAAAATATATTTAGGTTGTTAGAACTCGAAACCTTAAATGATTTCCTGTCCCCTTAATGTGGCATCCCTTTTAGGCGTGGTTGGAAAGCTAACATAGGTAAAAGAAAATTAATTTACGAAAATTTTAAATCCATTCTGCTCAACAGCTAACAACGGGGAGCGCACGTGGGTCATACTCTATCGCCTTCTACGCATTGCTCTTCTATATTTTGTTGTGTAATAGGAATTTGACTGAAGGTATATATATGTAAAATTAATATGGGTGAACTTAATCATATAGGTATGCTATCACCCGGTTAAAAGCTCGAAACATAGTTTCTTGACCAATTGAGCTTTGTAAAATATCATTTATTTAAAATTTAAAGATAACTTGATACAACTTTATTTCTCATGCCCCGTCATAACTGTGGTCTCAAATGATATAAAACAGCATTTTTCGCATAGACAGAGAAAAAAATGAGTTTAAATGACTCCTAATAATAAGCTCGTTAATGATTGTACGTAAAGAATAGGCGCTTAAACAAAAATGCTTCCCGTTTTTATAAAAAATATTTCATCGTAAAATATATAGTATTAGTATTAAACTAACCAATAATAAGAATTTATAACTAAATATAGATGGCATTTACCAATACATTAAGAATAACATTAAAAAAGGGGAAGTAAACATGTATTAAAGTTGAAAAAAGTCAGTGTTATTATTATACGAAAAAATGGTAAGTTTTACAATATTTATTATTTTTAAAGCATAGTACTGAAAACGTTTGACCAGAAGTTGTATTGGTATCGTTTCGATTGTAAGCTTCTAGGATAATATAAGAATAATACAACGAGTGTAAAAAGAAAATAGCAAATTTAAACGAACCATAGGACAAAACTTTTTAAACATTATCAAACTAAAAATAAATAGTAATTCCGCAAGCCACTTTTTTACAGTAGAACATATTTCAGAAGTATATTTAACAATTAAAAATAAAAAAGGTCAAAAGTAATTTATAAGAAAACTATATATTCCGCAAGCAGAGTTTGGGCAAAAAGCTACCAATTCAACTACGGGCAATGCAGCATTAGACCATATTTTAGCGGGTGCGATCTGCTCAATTGATGTGTTTAAGAAAGCTCGTGGCTCGAGGCATTGAACATATGCGCAGCCCAGGTGGCCTCCCTTCCGTTACTTTTTTAAATCTTCGTTTTGTCCTTCTGCTTGTCCCTCGACAGACAGTTTCGGGACAGGAGCAATGGTATGATCATTAACACTGAATCTTATTAAGATAGATTATATTATATGTTGATATACTACTTACTTTTGAAGGCAATAGTTTTATTAAGCATTCTATACTAACTAATAATATTATTTTAATAGCTTTATCTTTTTGGTGTTTAACGGCTTAATATCAGCTTTTTACGTAATTTAGTATTATTAAAGGAAAGTTTGCTTTTTTTTATATATGCAAAGAACCATTCTTAAATAATTATACTAATAACTGTTGAGACTCCGAAAGCTTATTATAAACTATATCATTTGTCTTTCGCAACAAAGTTATTATTATGTTAAGTAGAGTGCTTTTTAGAATATTGTTAATATAAGTTTGATTGTTAATTAATTCTAATACTCTATTTTTAGCCTTTTGTTAAGATTGTAAAAAACAAAGCTTATTTTAAGCGTTATCAAGTCAAATTTCGTCGGCGGCGTGAATGCAAAACTGATTATTACCAACGGAGAAAACTTATTATTCAAGACAAAAATAAGTATAACTCTCCAAAATATCGATTTATCGTCCGTTTTACTAATAAGGATATTATTACGCAGGTTTTTATATTTTGGCTGGATGTATACTTTTCAACTAACCTTTTTTGGGTAGATTGCTTATGCCACCATTGAAGGGGATCACGTTATGACTGCAGCTTATTCCCATGAGCTTCCCAGATATGGCATTAAAGTTGGACTTACCAACTACGCTGCGGCTTACGCCACTGGCCTTTTGTGCGCACGTCGTATTTTAACAAAATTAAACTTAGCAGACGCCTACAAAGGTAAAGAAGAGTGCGATGGCGAACTTTACCAAGTCGAAGAAAACGAGACAGGCCCACGGCCCTTCAGGTGTTTTTTAGATGTCGGCCTGGCTAGAACCACTACCGGCGCAAAGGTTTTTGCTGCAATGAAGGGCGCAGTGGATGGCGGGCTTGACATTCCCCACAATGAAGCTGGAAAAAGACTTTGCGGTTACGACAAGGACTCCAAATCGTTAGATCATGAAGTACTTAAAGGGCACATACTTGGCGAACACGTATCGGATTACATGGTTGACCTTGAGGAAGAGGATCCAGATTTTTTTAATCAAAAATTTTCCCGCTATGTTAAAGAAGGGGTTACCGCTGATAGCTTAGAGGAAATGTACAAAGACGCCCATGCAGCCATTCGTGCCGATCCTTCTTTTAAGCCAACTGAAAAGAAAACGAAGTCTACTAATGCCTTTGGCCGTAAGAAAAAAACTTCTCTTGCTCAACGCAAGCATCGCATAAACAAAATTAAATCTTACTTTTTAAAGAAACTCGGAGTAGCTTAGTTGTATTTTGTCAACTAGGTGTAACGGTAATAAAAGACTATTTTCTTTACAAAATACGTATGTTCGTAGTTATTATATTATATAAAATAATATTTAGAAGTATTTCCATTAAGTTCTAGGGTTGTGTTAGAAGTTTTTATTTATTTATCGGAATTTTTAGGTTAGTCCCTATATCTTATTCTTGTAAAATAAACGGAATAGATACAGTTACTAACAATTTTGTGGTCCTTAACTTATCTTAAGGACGAGAATTATTAGTTATTATTTTGTAAAGTTCTGGAAAAATTAAATTTTAGGTACTCACTATAATCCCTTCCTTGTTATTTTGCTTGGTTACTAATGATGCACCTCCTGTTATAATCTCGTCACTCATTTTTATATAAGGGCCTGAATATTTTGTATTAAGTAAAAGACGCTAAGCATGACCTCCGCTGCACCACAGCGATACTGTAGCTGAAAGCGATGATGGCTAACTGCCTCGCTGCCAAGTCTGACCGCCTACCTTCTTAACTGTTAACAACGCACTCCCAGAGCCAACTTTTTTCTTGTCTAATACAGTTAATACTCTAACTTGTCTCCCACAGTTGAAATTGGAGTGAATGTCAGAGTCCTGCCGAGGCAAAAGGGACCCGGCCCTGACTACACCACCAAGCTCAAGTATAAGCCTGGGGCGGGTATGGATCAACTGCGTCGCTTTATCAACTCGGTGGTCTTCGACTTCTTTTTTATGCGAGGGAATTTGACGGAAGTCGTGCTTTTACCAAAAACACCACAACTAGCATCTGAACCTTGTAAGTACATATCTATCAGTCTTTTGTCAGCGATAAGAAAGGTGACTTAAAGCAGTTACAACTAACCGTTTAAAGGTTGGTGACTCCCAAGAAAATTTACCGGAGTTTAAGTTTGGATTTTATTAAAAGTACATCAAACTATTTTAACAGTTTTTTCATCTGACCGGTTTTATAAGCCGAGCTATTAATTTTAAAAAGGCCAGCGGCGTTGACTTTGTCGACTTAATGAGAGCTTTTGACGCGTATGGCATGAAGGCCTGTTGCGCAAGCTGCACCCAGGCAACCCCAGGCGGACTTCGAGAGGAGTAAGTTGCAGCTGAAATGCTTTCCGAGTAGAAAATGCCCTCGCTGTTGCCGAAGAACAACCCGAAGCAATTACCACAGTCGATATCAAGGTGATTATTAAAGCCCTACCGAGACGGAAGGCTCCCGGCCTACGGCATATCCAACGTGGTGCTGGAGCAAATGCTGATGATGGCGGTTGATTGTCCATGCTGCCTCATCAGCTCGAGGGGGGCTCTCGACCACTTCCCGTTATGATGCTCCTTAAGATCTGCAACCAGTCTCTAAGTCAAGGAAATACCAACTTATCCGTCTCTTGTCAGCAGTAATCACAGAAGCCAAGGCCGCCATACTACGTTGCTTGAAAGCGTTTTGTTGATGCACCTCATGCTCTGTAAGAGTGTTAATTTATATCGGCAAAGGCATAGAACAACGCAACAGCTCCTCTGCTTGACGGGATGAACGGCCCCATACCTTTGAGGCCAAGAAGGCAAGAAGCGCCGTGTTTTCAATGTCGAAAAAGCGTTTGACCAAATTTAGCACAACGGCTCCCGCGCGCCTTAGTTCTACTTTCTGTTCTATTATCGTTCTTAAAGCATATCTATAGTTCCGCTTTCTAATACTTGGGTGAGCGATGCACACTCATCCTCAAAAGTACTATAGGCGGAAGTCCAGAAGGGTCTTTTTTTTCTGTTGTTAACCTTACACTTTACACAGATCTTCACTACAACCTCCACACGCGGAATGCCTTACATGCAGATTGGTACAGCGATTTACTCCTATAAAACTCGCCGTCCTTAAAACGCCAGGATCAGTAGTGCTATATTTACGCTTGCCAGCTAGCTGGTGTCGAGGTTAAAAAAAAAATTACTCTTAATTATAAAAAAGTAAAGCTCCGCCTTTGTTGACCTCTCGAAAAAAGGTGACCTCGTATACTTCCAGAAGAACTATTTGGGGGTCACCATTATTAATGTTATGACGACCACACGTGAACTATGGTAGTAGTGAAAAAAAAAAAGGTCAAGCTGCCAACTTAAATCTGGTAACCTTTACTTTGTACCAAAAGCAAAAAAAACTCACCTTGCGCTTAACAAACAATGCTCTTAATGGGTTGAGCGTCCAGCAATAATGGCATTAGCGCCTTTTTTGCCTGGGCATCTGGACGCCTGTAGTAGCGCCCTTACTCTAAGTGAGACAAAAAACCTGCTGCGCCTCGTGACGGGTGCGACGTGGTTTGTGGAAAGCGATGTTTTACATTAGTACCCTTAGCTTGAGCTTCAGGATACCGTTTTTTAACGTAATGCTATCTCCACCTATGAATGGCCTACCAAGCGCACCAGAGGGGAAGTAGAGCTCAGTTACGAATTGCGGGACGACACGCGCTATCGCCCTCCGCGCAATGCACTTTTTGTTGTACTTACGAAAGGGGTAAGGGCTAGAAGTATACAAATAACATTGCTTTGACCAAGCTTTAATCTAAATTGTTAACGCTACCAGCTCGTATATTTGGTATCCGCCAGGAGACACCACTTTTTGAATGTCGCCTATGGCGCTAACCTTAAGATCCACAGTAATTCTAAGAACTCAAGCCAAAAACTTGAGTTCTCCTCAAAAAAAAGGTGTCGAGTAAAGAGATAAAAAATATATAATGGTGGTGTCTTTTTTATAAGGAACTACTGCGATGTTATTAAATTTAAGAAAAAAAAAAAAATTATAAGTACATAGTTAATATAAATAAGTATATGGTTCGCCTTGTCAACGTAACTTTGCGTGTAATAAAATAGGTCCTAAAAGTCTTTCAAAATATGGTTTTTCGCTAGTAAACATTATTGCTTCAACTTTTTCGAGGAGAGTTATATTGTAAATCTTACACTCTTTTTAAATATTCAGTTATAATGAAAATTCATAAACATAGCGCAGATACATTTTTTGCTTATTAACTCATATACCAACTTGTAGTTAAACAAGCGCACAATATAAACGTCGGAATCCGAAAATAAGTTAATAGTGTAAACAAGTCACGCACTTAATTATTAAAAATTAGCCAACTTTTTTTTTAAACGTAAACTTTTTGTTACTTCCTCCCTGTTAGTATCTACAACGTAAAAAGTTGATGGCCAACGCTTCTTAAGAAGATATTTCCCTTTAACAAACTAAGTCGGTTTTTCAAACTTGACTTCTGAAGCTACCCCGTAACTATGAAAAATCCACTGAATTATAAATTCGTTGTTTACGTCCTTTTAGTTCCTTATACCAATACTAACCAAGATTAAAACATGCTAAGTAGGCTCTTATGCCTCAATGATAACTGGCAAGCAGCGTTTAAAATAAGCAAAAGGATAAATAATGAAAAACAATCCAAAGGCAGTATAAAAGTCGCGGTCTTGTGAAAATAAAAAAATTCGCAAAAGTTTTATTAAACTATAACACCAAAAAAGACTTAATTAAAGGGTTACAAAATTGTAGTATAGTATTATCGGTGTCAAATAGAAAGTAAGGTAAAAAAATTTTAAACACAAGCAATTCGCCCTTTCTCAAAATTATTTTAAATTAATTTCAGTCAAAAACTAAGAGGGGAGTCTACTTCCAGGCATTTAGTTAACTCTTTACTGCTTTTAAATTGAAATGTAAGTTTTTTAAACTTAGCACGAATGCGAGACAAATCTTTTTGCAAGTTCTATTGAGTGCAAGTTTAAAATAAAATAAAAAACTATACAATGACAAGGTGAGCTACCTCATTGTTAGTAGAGGCACAAAAATCTCTAATCATGGTAAGCAGAGAATACACAACTAAACGTGTTCTATTAAAAACGACAGATGTCTCAGTGCGACCAGCATTTTAAAAAAAGAATAATAGTACCCTTCGCTCAAATTAGAGGAAGAAGAATCGCTCAAAGCTCGCCACATTGAGCAGCAACCGTTATAGTAGCCAAGTTCTAGGCCTAACTGCATTTACTTTAAAAAAAATATTTAGCACTAAATTGGATACTACGTCAGCTCCTTTAGAAAAGCCTAAATGTTCACCCTTAGAAACTCCGACGTCCTGCCCATAAGAAAAACCCCGCTTGTTATAGTAGTCGTAGAATCTTTTTAATAAATAATAAATATTATAGCCAAAGTAGTAAAAGAATAATAAATTATTTAAAACAATGTGACTACTTAAAAGGTTAACTAGTTAAACAAATGAGAAAGATATAACAGCAATACTACAGTACAAATTTGAAAAAAGTCTCTTTGGATTAAAAAATTAAACAAAAAACCTTTTACAGAAGATAATAATATTCAAAAACATAGTAAAATCATAAAATGGAGAAAGATAATGCTACCTTTCATTAATAAGGTTAACAGGATCTAAAATTGGGTCTCCTTTATCCATGTTAAAAACAAATTTTATCAATTCCGAATGTTCCTCAGAGGTAGAATAATTATCATAAACATTGCGCGTAACGTAGGGAGCAAAGTTGTGGTCAACCATACTTTTCTCTCTTTAAAAGTAATAGAAAACCTTACCGTTCTTGTATTTTTACAAAGGCATTTACATCTAAAAAAAGGAGCTGCTTGAACGTAAGCGCTTCCATTGGCTCATTTAGGTAGTACTTTGATCATGTGCGCCCGCTCCAACATATATCCCCCTGGTGAAATTATATAAGTCGTATAATGGTACTTATTGTAACATAATATTGTGGAATTCTAACATTTACAGGTATCTGGTAGTTAATACCCTTATAACATATATAATGGACCTTAATTTACAGTCTTAGTGTAAAAATATACAAAAAAATAAACCACCACTCCCCCCCCCGTAAAACTTCCATGAAAATAAAAAAGTT